TCAGAATCAATAAATACAGGCTGCCGGGAAGGGGTAGGCCCAGGCTACACAGAGCGTTGCAGGTGCATACAATATATGAAGTGCCGACTCTGCGTGCATATCGTACACTGGCGCAAAAATGTAAGATAGGCGGCTCATGCGGCAAAGAACTCGCGCAATGTAGCATCCAAGATCTGCGCGGTCTTGCGAGCGTCCGCAGGACTAACGTGGCTGAAGCTGATCCGATAATGACCCTCCGCGTTGAAGTCGGGCACATCCTCCGCCCCTTTACCGACGTACGAGAAGAAGTTTCCAGGGGAGAAGACCACGCCGTTGTCAGCGAGAGAGGTCCAGAAGAGCATCTCGAGAGACTCTTTCGAGTTATGGTAGCGATGGCGGAGGTAAGGAGGGAATGCGACCTTGAGCTAAAGATGATACGTCAGTGTCTGATACCAAGGAATTGGTACACATCACCTACCCAGATGAATAGCCCCGAGGTTGGCGGGATGAACTCGAAGAGCGGGCGTCTCACGCCCTTCTCCCTCATCCCATTCTGCTTTGCATACGCCACGCAGACATCCCTTCCGTCAGTCTTCTCCGTAACCACGCTCCTCTCCACGTCGAATGTGTCATACAGAGCATCGACGAAGTAATCTCGGCGCACAGTGTATAAAGCGCGGACGCCGCGCAACCAGCGAATGAAGCCGTCCTGCGTCCATTCGCGCAGTAGGCCACCGACCACAGCGGTGCCGAGACCGTTTGGAGCCTGCGTGGCGACCTCACCGACACGCTCGAGGCGTTCGGCGAAGAGTGGCGAAGTGGTGAACCAACCCAGACGCAGACCCGGCGCGAGGAACTTGGAGACGGTGTCGATGCGGATCACTCGACCCTGAGTATCGACGCTACAGCTTTATGAGGGATTGTCGAGAAATAGCTATGTATCGGCTTACCGAAGGAAACTAGGCGCGAGGGAGGCCAACCATTCCTCATCCGTCTGGTTTGCCCCAGACGTGGCGGTGCGAGCACGGACGTCCTTGGGCTTGTACAGTCCAGCTTGCAAGAAGTAGTAGGGGTCGTCCTCAAGGATGATGATGTCTGTGGCGTATAAGCACAAGTTCAATACATCTCACACAACAATCCTTACCAAACTCGGCACAAACGTCGTAAACTTCCTGCTTGCGCTTGAGGCCCATGGTCTGTATGACGATCGTCAGATATTGCGGTGGTGTGAGATTCGACGCGACGCACCCGCCCCGATGGGTTCTGTCCGACAGGCACTGTGTACATGAGATGCGGTCTCTTTCCTTTCACGCTCTCGTCCCACCCTGCCAGTCTCTCCCTCAACTTCTCCGGAAGTAATCCTTCATCGTCCATTTCGATGCTGATGAACTTCAAATTGGCAGGCGCACCCGCAGTGAGCGCACTCGCGTAGATCCACTCCTCGCCAATGATAGTGTCACCTGGCTCGGCCAGGATTTGCAGCACACGCGACCATCCATCTGTGTTTCCCGTGTGGAGGAGGGTCTTGAAGTCCGCGTATGCAGGCTGGAAAGCACGAGCCGCGAAATCGTTGATGGTGGCAGCCACGTAGTCAAGCCCGCGGACGGGGTTGTACTGGAGCGCCTTCGTGAGGTTCAAGCCGTTATCTCCAGGTGCTGGGTCATGATTGATGGTGAAGGTGATAGGCTTGGGCTGCGCAGGGGCGAGACCAAAGAAGCGCTTGAACCAGGAGACGCTGTTGGACAACGATGCAGGCGTTGCAGAGAAGTTGTCGTATGGGAGCGCATGTACGTCGACGGAAGTAATAGGAAAGTAGTCCTCATGAGGAGCACCTACGACGACTGTGAGCGTCGGTAAATGCAAGGTCGAGTCAACGCATACCGGAAAATAACTTGATAAGCCCCGGACGATCGTCGTAGCGCGCGATAAGGGCCTTGAGTGGCGAACGCTCGTACGACCTACCCCGAACAGAGAGGTGGTGCGACAGGTCAATCGCATCCTGCTTGTGCATCTTCTCAGAGGACATGATGGGGCTGAACTAGATAAGGCGATGGATGGCCGGGGCGATAGCAGACTGATATACCAGTGTGGGGTATACCGCGAAGGTCCTCGAGCTATATAATCAGCAAGGTACGGCGCCTGTATATGCGCTGCGCTGCATGCGGGCGCGGTACCACGCAGTTCGAAGCACACTGGCGACTAGGCTCGGTCCTCGACACTGATTGTCCGTGCTGGTACTTAAAGGACATTGCTAAGGCGTCATGTCATCTTACTCACGATTCGCGCCATCTCACGCCTCGAGAAGATGCAACTAGTCAGGAAGAGCCTTCACATGAGTCGAATTGCTATGAGAGCTGGAGATTGGAGGCGTGTACGTGAGACTCGCGAAAGCGATACGGGGTTCCGGAGAAGCGCTGGCGCTGAATACATTCTGGGATCTGGAGAGTGCGATTGATGGCGGAGCTATCTGATAAGCATGGCATATAATCCGCGCCCAGTTGATCGTGTCACTCATACCCACGACGCGAGGGCCAGTACTGCGTAGCGAATGGTGGTGCGTCTTGCAGTCAGTGCAAAGATCCCTTCGCCCGTGGATGGGCCGGTGGTGGTCCATGAACAAGACGCATTTTAGCACGTGAGCGTGGCGCGAAAGTTGTGGCTTCGCTTGTTTAAGGCGTCTCTTCTTCCCCCTAACATGTCCTCCACGCCTGGTGCAGGTCCGTCCAGGCGTATACCCACAGCGTCCAAGCCTTTTTCGTCCACCTTCTCCCTTCCTTCCCGTCGCGCGCCTCAATCCAGCAAGGGTCGACTCAATACTTTCGCGGACGCGTCTTCCCTACGATTACACCTCGATGGCAGCCGCGTCCCAGCAGACCCGTCGAGCGCGTTTCAAGGCAAAGGCCTTGTTGCGAAAAGCTTGAAGAATGCCGGGCCGGACGCGCGAGGTCGGTGGTATGCACGCGACGCCACAGGGTCGGCGAAGGTTCCGCGTGAAAGACGAGTGAGAGAGGCGGACGAGACAGAGGCAGCCGTGCAAGAGGAGCTGCGAGCGGAGAGTGTGCCGGCTAAAGGAAAGGAGAAAGAAGTCTTTCGTAACGAAACTTCAGAAGTCTTTGACTTGAACGCAGACGCCCAAGTGGCTGCCGAGAATGGCAAGGAGGTGGACGCCGAAGAAGTAGTAGATGAGAAGGAGCTAAGAAGGAGAGAAAGGCGTAGGAAGGATAACGAGTCCCGAAGACTCAAACGGGCTCGGTTCAAGGAGGACTTGCGTACAGGTAGAGACTTGGTACTGGATACGCCAACTCTACCAAAAGATGAATCTCTGCCGCCACCCGTGCGTGCGAGTTTGTTCTTCTCATCTCTTTATCTTATAGGTATCATCCTAGGACTTCCTCAAAGTAATACATCATTTTGCCTCAAACTACTACGCGCATGCAGGTGTCTTGACGGATAAGTCGCGCGAGTACCGAGCTATAAAAAAGGCCCGTGCCGAAAGGCGTACAGCCAGGCTCTTCGAACAAGGCAAGGAGGAGCTTGATGAGGAAGACACTGATAGCAGCCGTGAAGAGGACGCTGCCACCTCCAGCAGTCGCCCGTCCAAACGCGCACGCCGTTCCCGGTCCATGTCGCGTGTAACTCGGTCGAGTCGCTCCAGCTCACCGCGCTCGTACTCACGTAGTACTCGAGCTGATGACGAAGCGGAGGACGAAGAGAAAGGCATGAGGCAAGATCCTCTCGTCAAACAACCCGACATGTACAAAGCCTTCAGCGGCAAGGGTCTGATGGCTATCGGTGAGTTTGACATAGTCACACCAAGCCTCCTCCTGACGCGGATATCAGGCATACTGATGCAGGAGTTCATCGCTGCACAAGTAACACGTGAACCGCCCGAGGATTGGTTGGAAAGTGCACTTCTGGAGGGGAAAATACTTGAACCAGATTCAGAGATTTCGGAAGCCCCGCAAGATCCACCGGACGAAGAAGACAAGGAGGTCGATGAAGGGGGCTCAGGAGGGCTTGACGAGGACTCGGAGAAGGACGATGAAGACGACGATATCCCACGTAGTTCGGACGACGAGAAGAGCAGTAGCAGTCCTTCCGAAGAGGACTGACCTTCACTTGATTAGTGCTCTAGCTAGCAAGCGCATTGCATCCGAAAAATATGAGTGTATATGGTAGTGAACGGCAGCAATATAGAACGTGAGTGAGCTAGAAGTGTATGAATGGGCACCAGACTCAATGAGTGCTCGGCCGTGGCTGCGGTTTTGCGGACGTCAATGTACCATCCTCCCAGCGCTTCAAGATATTCTGTCCCAATGCACCCGTATTCTCGTCCGGGAATATCCGTAAACGTTCTAGCCGCCGTGCTCGCAGACGGTTCTTCGGCAACATGCCAGAGACAGCTTTGCGGATAATCTACATACACTGTGAGCAACTGGCTGAGATAGAGCCGAAAGACACGCACCTCCTCCGGCTTCTTATCAAGCATAACCTCATACGGAGTCTCCTTCAAACCACCCGGGTACATGGTGTGTCTCCTGTACACAATCTGCTCGCTTTTCTGCCCAGAGACCTGGATATGCCGAGCGTTCGTCACGACCACATAGTCGCCGCAGTCAGCTATGAGCCAGTATCAGTGCCTTGTCTTCATAAGGTCATGCTATTCGGACTAACCACCAGCATCGTAGATAGGTTTATGCTTGCCCATGAGAACGTGCGCGATGCGCTCCGCGAGCTTGCCTAGCCCACGCTCCTTCGCGCTGACATGGTGCCAGACACGTGCATAGGCAAGAGCAGTCTGTATACAAGTTCAGTAGAGATAAGTGAGGGGGTATTATGTGGACATACGTTGCCAACTGCTTGTGACATGGTGGACGTGAGCGCGTCGCGCGCCGACACGACCGAGCGCGTCAAGATGGCCGGCGTATCGGGCCGACCACATTTTCTGGGCCCAACTTCTGTGACCCGTGATAATATCCACTCTGCGACAGTTCACCAGTGGCTAACATTTTCACCTCTTTGAGATCTCGGCGATGATAAGACGACCCCAAATTGTGCTATGCAGCCATTCTGTGAACAGCAGGAGGAATCTCCGCCGCCGTCTTTACAGCTTGAATGCGAGAGCCGAACCTACATCTTCAACATATCTATGACGGATACATATATCCTATATATACTCTTCCTGCCAAAAGGAAACTATGGCTCGAATATCCCACCTCAGGAATGCGGCTCAAAGAATTGCTTCGATTAGCTCTGTCATGATCTTCTACGACAGTATTTGGGAAATCCGAGTAATTCAGCCATCTCCGTGCTACTGTCAGTCCCTTCAAAACGACAGTTGGAAGAAAGTGCGAATTGCGTTGCGATGCAGTCCGATGGTGAGAAGAAACAACTCGAAAATGCTGGTTGGTTCGGCGAACACGCGCGTCATACCGGCCGGCAAGCTGACGTGCGCCTCCCCGCATCGACAGGACTTGTGCAACTCCTTCCGTTACCACCACCACCACCACCACCACCGCTCGCTCCAATGCTACGCGTAGGCGTGTTCAATGTTGCGCGCCCTGCCGCTGCCGCCGCTCGTCCGTGCTTTCAGGCGCGGATGTTCTCGCAGGCGTCACGGCCAAATGGACTCGGCGCACTTCGCAGCAATCCGCGCGCCACATTCTCTTTCTTCAGCGCCCGCACCCTCATGAACGACGCAAAGCCGGTCTACGGCCGAACACAGACGGGTCAAACAGACTGGAAGCGCGTCGCCTTGACTGTTGTGAGTAAAGTCGACAATGCTTTGTAAGATCTCCTGACCCACACATTCGTCAGGGAACTGTCGGTGCTGCTTTCGCGGGGACCCACCTCTTCCTCAACCGCGAGACGCGTGATGCACTTTCACCGGCCGAGCAGTCTTACCTGCACAATACGTTTGCGTACACGGCCGGCGGACTCGCGCTCACCGCCGCCGGTGCACGCTACATGTTCAAGGCTGGTGTGCCGTACCGCCTCATGAAAGCGAATCCCTGGTTGGTACTTGGCGTATCGTTGGTCGGTTCCATTGGCACGATGATGGGCGCAATGGCTACACCACCCGAGAACAGCCTTGTCAAACACTCGTTCTGGGTCGGATTCAACCTGTTCCAGGCCGCCACGCTCAGTCCGCTATACTTTTTCGCTCCCGCCTTACTCGGCCGTGCCGCACTCTACACCGCCGGTGTCGTCGGATCCTTGAGCTATGTCGGTGCAACAGCACACAACGACAAGTTCTTGTACATGGGTGGGCCCCTCCTTGCCGGTGTCACGGTCGTCGCCCTGAGCAGCCTCGCTCCAATGGTCTTCCCTGCGATGAGCCTCCGCGCACTCGCAGTCACGGAGTCGATTTACCTCTACGGCGGTCTTGCGGTTTTTAGCGGCTTTGTCCTTTACGACACGCAGAAGATCTTGCAGCACGCACGCATGGCCCAGGCTGGGCTCGTCCGCAGCGACCCTCTCAAGGAGAGCATCTCGCTCCAGCTAGATTTCATGAACATCTTGTACGTCTGTAACACATCGTCATGCATTTTCTGTTTACTTACCTCACCACAGCATTCGTCTCGTGCAGATCCTAGCGATGCAAGGCAACAGAAGGAAGTAAATGGAGTCGCATTCCTATTGGACAACCTTTGTGTATTCTTAGCCAGTCGTACTCCGCTCTTACTCGCTCGTTCTGTGTTTCGTCTCAGTCACTCCTATCATGTAAATCAATCTGCTAATTTGCATTCACCCCTTCAGCGAAGGCTGGTCATCGCCGGCGGTCTTTGCTGAGCTTCAATGCGGCATGCCCCTAAGTAATAGGACAATCTCATCACACAGAAACTCCCAAACAAGAATGATACAAGCCCGAGTAGAGCATGGCTGCCACTCTAAACTCCCGCCACGACGTCCGTGGCGACGCACACGACCTGTGGTCTAGTCAACATACTGATCAAATGTGTCGTAGACGCTGCAAACTCACCAGGCCCACCTCCAAAAGTGTGCAGCCACTGCCCAAGTTCGGGTTGTTCGCAATCATAGTGGAGACCGTCGTGCCAGCGTTCTCGGCGACGCTCGTGCAGGTGTCATTGCTCGTCACGACATGGACCGGTTCGCAAGCTTCGTTGATGATCGCTAGGCAAAGCTGCTGGCCGACCTGGAGGTTGTCGCAACCAGCGTCGATGGTCGCGTTGTTCACGGTCTCGAGCTGATAGCTGTAGTCGCGACTGTCAGAGATGTATCGCAGTGAATGATGAAGGGGTTTATAGTACGTGGATACGGATTGTGCGGCTGCGATATTGTTGCAGGTGTCGCCGGGTTTCACAGTATACGTCTGAGCACAGTTTGCGACCTGGGCGTTGGCGCTTTGGCGATAAAGAGTGCGAGAGCGGCGGTGAAGAGCTGTACAGAGGCAAACATAGTGAAGTAGCGTCGACAGTGAGAGAGCTGAGGCTGCTGCTTGATACAAACAGCGTGGGCCGCTTTTATACATATGCGGTTCCACACCTCATCATCTCCGACTGACTGTCGTGTGAAGATTCATGTCATTGTTACAGATCACTACAATGGCTATGTTTCGGCCGGACACGCAAGTCAAATACTTGGTAACCGTGGCATGAGCACACCGGAACACCGAACGACGTGACGGCGGCGGTGAACAGCGGGCTTATACGACAGCGGAATGTTCGGAACATCACAGGGTAGTCATACACGACTGTGGATGATCTTTACATCATGTAGATGCTTATTTTGTTCTTCATCGGCCGGTGAATACGGTCAGGAAAGGCCGCCTATGTATGATTATCATGGGAAGCGGGTTCTGTTCTGCAATACAGACATGGGACGGTCACGCTCGCGGGTCAACCAAGTCGTTTGTTCTCACAAGAGGAACGTAGGGAGCGGCCCGGGGACTGTGACAGCTCAAGACAGACGAATAGGTTATATGTACCGGAACTTTGCACAGCTCGATGAACGCAATTTACCGGCGTCCACGTAGACAGCCGAGGAATAGAGTTCACTGATATGCGAATGGGCGTTGCATGCAGTGCGAACATCTAGTCATCGTGAAGTTCAAAGGGTGTAACATTTACGACAGGAACTTGATAAGAGGAAGGCACGTTTGGAGCACACAGTAAGGGCCCTATTCCTCTCATACTACGACATCCTTGTCAACACAGACAACCTACAGACAGATGAGCGGAGTCCTACATTGAGATCATACAAATCACTTACAAGACCCGGGTACAGAGCCGTGCAATCACTGCCCAAGTTTGGGTTGTTTGCGACCAACGTGCCAACGGTCGTACCGGCCGCATCCGCGACACCCGTGCAGGTATCTCCGTCGACAACAGTGTGCACTGGTTGGCAATCTTCTCCCTCGACGGCGAGACAAAGCGGCATGCCTAGGGCCAGGTTCCCACAGTTGGGGGTGATAGTCCCGTTGTTCACGGTCTGAAGCTGGTAGCTGAACGCGAGAAATGATGAGCTCATCTCTGTCTCATACTTAGAAGAAGAAGGACACCTTACGTCGATACACCCTGGGCGTCCGCGATGCTGTTGCACGTGTCGCCGAGGTGAACGGTGTAATTACGTGCGCAATTGTCGACCTGTGCCTCGGCGCCCTCAACGACGAAGAGTGCCAAAGCAACCGCAAGAAGCTGAGGAGTGAACATGTCGAGTTGCTAGGAAGGCGAGAATGGAATTGTAGGGCAGAAGCTGCTGGTCGATCCGGTCTCCCTGCGCCCGCTTTTATACGCGAAAGACGTCGCTTCTCACTGCTCTCGATATGACTATCTTGAGAGAAGCGAGAAGACCATCTTACGCTGCCACGCACGGGATGCAGAGGGCAGGTTCGGCCAAGCCCGTTGCTCCAATAGAGTCGGTCGCCGCGATGAGCCGTAAGCTCGACGATCAGCAAGCAGTGCCCAGCGCCGGAGCGGCAATAGTGCGTAGCGAGCCACGGGTCACGACGTAGTGCTGCATATAGCACGACCATGATGCACGAGATACAGTGTACGAGTCTCACCGATTGTGAAGGAGTCATAGATGTGATGGTCCGCACAGCATGTGGTAGAGAAAGCGGCGAGAAGATGCCGGACAAGAGGATCACAAATGCCAATCAGCAGCACGCTTCCGGAGCATCCAAATCTTCGGACTTCAGCATAGCATAGTGGGATCATGAAGCACTCGTATACATATAACATATGCAAATATGGGTCAAAACTCCAAACAAAGACTGGCGACGCAGAGTCTAGAAGAGTAGATTATTCGACTCTTGACGCGGAGCTGGCTGTGGCCGTCGCACGTGCTGCGGCTGGGATAGTGATGCATGCATAGGCGCCGGGGTTTGCATAGGTGCCGGTGTATGCATGCTCGAACCTGGTGCTGAACGCGCCTGATGCAGTGGCACACCCGAATCAGGCGCCGAGCGACTCGGAGCATACCCTGCCCCACCATAAGGATAAGGCGTGGGCTGTTGGTAAGCCGACTGGCTTGTAACGGGCAACCCGGAGTGGTGAGCGAGGGGATGCGTGGGAGTAAACGGGTATCCTGATGACGCCTGGTGATTAGACGACGCCGTGCTCGAAGGCGGGAGTGCCACGGGCGGAGGTCGATGCGCCAAGTTCCCCGACGCGTCTTCAGAAGGGCGGCGGCCCGAGGGATGCCGACTGAGTGATGGTTGTCTTACGTGAGGCGTGCTTGCGTCCGTGGAGGAATGGCGCCCGTGGCTATATTGCGGATGCGCGGCTTGAGGCGCAGCGCCAACGGTTGGCGCCGTACTCCAAGCTGAGCCCGTTGAGCTCGCGACACTTGGCGGCGCTGTTGGCCGTCGGTGCATCCCAGGCATTGGCGCATAACCAGAGTGAGGCGTGTACGGTGCCTGTCCTGTTCGTGACAATTCTGCCGTAGATACTTGTATTGACGGTGGTCCAGGAGGAGGTACGGGGGCTGGTCCGCTGACAGACCGGCTTCGCACTCGCTGAGCAGACGGTAAGGAGGTATTCAGCTGTTGTTGTGAGTGGGCGTTCGGGAGACTCGGCCCCGCGGCGGGTGTGGGAAGGATGACTGGTCTGGGAATGGACTCTTGACGAGGTACATATCGGCTTTCAGTTTCGGGTTCCCCACTGAAAGATCTCCCGCGCGAGCGGTGACGTGAAGAGTCTGGAAAGACCGGCGGATTGGGATGAGGTGTATGCGCAGACGTAGGCATACGACGACCGCTGGACTGATGAGGCGGCGCGGTCGGAACGACAGGCTGGACAGCCGGGTGACGAGCATGCTGGGTATCTGAAGTTGTCTGCGGGTTATACCCACGATGGAGAGATTGTGAGCGAGAATGAGATGCACTGCCAGGCGCCGAAGCACTCGTAGGCAAGCCGGAGGTGCCGGGAAGCGGTGAGGGAATGTATGCCACAGGGGGAACTTGTTGTCCTGGATAGATGTTCGCCGATGTTGAAGCGGGGAACGTAGTTAGCTCGCGGGGCGGAGAAGGAATGTAGGGCGCTGGAGGATCTGAACGCCTAGCGTGACCATTTCTAGACGTCGAGGCTGAAGGCAAGGTGGCCGATTCTCGAGGAGGTGAGGGGATGTACGATGCAGTGGGCTGATGTTGGCGGTTGCTACGAGTGCTGTTTGCCGACGTTGTGGGCACGGGAGTTTCTGGGGGCAGGTCTACACTCTCGCGCCAACCTGGAGGTGCAGGAGGAATGAACCCCCTACGGCCACTCTGAGCGGGAGAAAGCGCATCACCTCCCAGGTTGAGTGGCGTAGGAGGAATAAAAGGGGTTGTGGAGTTGCTACGCCGGGAGACAATGGGCACACCGAGGCCCAGGGAGTTTTCTTCGGTGCCGTCGTGGTCGCGGTGGATATTTCTAGAGGCAGACGAGCGCTCTTGGCGGCCGATTTGACGACCGCTGTTTCCGGACTGTTCGTGCTGGGTACGTCCAGGATGGAAAGGGATCCGGGAAGTCGTTTGGCCATCCACCACCAAGTCAACTGGTGAAAGTAGAGCATCCGCATCCCGATGTCTCGTTGCAGACCCTCTCCTGTGCTCCGTGCGAGCGCGTCGCTCCTCTGCGGCAGACGGTTCTGGATGGAGGCCGCCAGTTGCGGCTGAGCTGCGACCGTCAAGGCCGAGCGCGTTACCACGATCAACAGCCTCTGTCCTCCAGAACGGGTCGCTCGTTTCCTCCTGCATGCGAAGTTCCGCTTCATACTGTATAGATCGCTGTCGCTCTTCTCTCGAGACGGACCTACTCATGGCAGACGCGGAGTGCGCCCGACTCGATCCGGCTGCAGGACTGGGTGCACCGAGTCTTTGGGATGGGGGCGGAAGCGGGCTCGGTATTGAGTGTTGTTGCAGTTCGTCTTCCAGACGCGCGATTGTGTCCATGTAGGTCGTTTCCAGCGTATCGCGCCGCCTTCTTTCCTCCGTCTCTTCCCTCTCATGACGTCTGATTCGCTGCTCGTAGCTGGCCGTCTGTAGCGCCATCTCGGCGTACTTGTCCAAGACTGTTGCTATGCAGTATACAATGTCCAATATAGCCTTGTCCTTGATTATTTTTGGTCAGTCTCATGCCTACGCCGACTAAAAGGCAAGACCTACAGCATGAACCTGCACGAAAGCCCGTATTTGGCTCATCAGGTCGTCCAAATCGAGGCTGTTCAAGCCAGCGCTTCTCTCCTCCGAGCGTCTCACTCGCTCGGCAGCTTGGTCTATGCTCCTCATGGCATTGTGCACGTCAGCTGGAGGGCTCGCATCGCGTGATGTGTCTACGTGCAATCGATGGACGCGGTCATGGCGAAATTGTGATCTACAAGTCGGACAGGGGCCTTCAACGTGAACCAAACACCTGTCGTCTTAGAATAAGCAGCGCGCGAGATCGAAGCAGCCAACACGCACTCTAAGCAGAAGACATGGCCACATGGCAGAACATGAGGCGTCTTGCCGTCGCGATCCTCGCCAGAACCCGGTGGCTCGAAATGCTCGAGGCAGATATCGCACGTGGATAGTGGGTCAAAGTAGAAGGGCATCTTTTCGTTCGCCTAAGCCCAGTGTCCGTGTACTTAAGGCAAGCACGCGAGTAGGCGGTGAACGCCCAGCGTGAGGGAGGGAAGCGAGAAGCACAGGTCCGTGCATCAGGAAACCAGGACCTGCTTTAGCGGTGCCAATCTGCTATAGGTAATCTTCCATAATAGTCTTCCATCCGACTTCCGAGGAACGCAAGAATGGGCGCTTGTGGATCGGGCCGAAGGATGGACGATGGTGGGTGTCAGGGTCAACGCGCGAGTCGAACTTGACCACCTCGTGTGGCACCGCCCCCTCACTGCATCATGACAATTGCTTTACGCACAGGACAGGGAGCGTCTTGCGCGCGTCGGGACGAAAAATGAGAAGCAATGCATTCAGCAGGTAGTCGTAAACAAAGGTGATAATGATAGGGTAAAGGGAGGATAAGGAGTGTGAGTAGTATTTACGCTCATTTCTCCGTGAGACTCGCAACCGTGAAACCGCAGGAGATCAGCGAGAAACTGCTCGTAGAATATCCCGCCATCTGCACAACCGGCTCGCACGTCTACTGGTCGGCAAGGTAAATGTTCATGCCCGAAAGAAGGAGGTAGTCGACGTTGATGCCCATGTTCTCAATGGGGACAGTGATGTCGAGGAGCTGAAGGTCTGTTCAGCGAGGAATGAAGCTCCACATACATATTGTGCGTACCTGGACCAACTCAGCGTCACCAGGAGCATTCAGGCGGAAGACACCAAAGGACGTTGCCTCCTCGAGTAGCATGTACATGAACTCCTGACCTGCGTAGCGATGAGCACGGGAATACGATGCCGCTGGCCTAGAGCATACCATTCACGTCGGCAACGACCGCCTCGTTGGGACCCATCTTCGGCATCGGGTACTGGCGAAGAAGAGTAGGCGTGAGGTCGTCGTCGAGCTGGACCTCGTTGACAAACTCGTTGAGCAAGTCCGAGATGAAGTAGGTGCCGGTCTTGGGTGCAGTGACAGACCAGCAGTTGCCCTTGTTATGCGTGATGTTCAATGGCGTGATGGTCGTGTTGCCTGCACCCCATGTCATGTCCACAACAAGCGCTCCGTTGACAACGTCGGAGCCAACGAAAGCATTGCGGCCCGGGATCCTATGATGGGGTCAGCAATAGGAACTCGTCCATATATCACAATGAACCCACTGTGAGAGCGAGAACGTGAGGCCACCGTAGGGTGGGCGGATGTCAATTTCGAAGGGCTCGTCGGCCAGCACGGCGTCGTTGGTGATGGGCCAGATGCGCATGTAACCCGGGCTGTTGTCGAAGTCGCCCGCCATTCCTTTCACGATAGCAATGACGGCCTCCTGATCAGGCGTAAAGATAACCTGAGAAGCAGTACCAGGCGGACCCATTGGAGGGTTCTGCGTCTGGTTGTACACTTTCACATCCCCGGTTGAGGTTGGGGTAAGCCCCCCGTAAGAGTCAACGAGGAAGCACCTGCATCAGAGTCAGCGTGGTGAAGGAAGGCGCTTCGATGCAGCATTGCGTACTGCACATTCGACTCAAGACCGCCGTTGAGAACGCACAGCTGGTCGCCGGCATTGTTGATGGCAATACTCTCAGGGAAATCTCCGCCGGAGGGAACTGCGGAGCCGATGGGCGTTAATTTCGTCGGGTTCTTCGGGTCGATGTTGTACATCTGGATGGTGTTCGAGCCGGCGTTGACAGCGGCGAGACGGCCAGTCGCCTGGTTGACTTGGACAGGGCCCTGAGAAAAGAGAGGACCGGTGTTAGTTGGGCGACCACGGGCTCCGGCCCCTTGAGCTGCCGTCGCGGTGAGGTCCGTCTATAGAGGGCATACGTTAACAGACAGAGCTGTGTCTTGCTCAGGGCAAAACAAACCAAAAGACCATCCTGTCCAATCTGGGCGGCGATGACATAGTTGTCAGCAAGATCATTGTTGATCACTATAAGAAATTGAGCGGTAGTCAATGTGCAGAGGGCGAGGACGACGTACTGTAAACAGCGCCGAAAGGCTTAGCAGGGCTCGGTGCAGGTTTGGCGATGGCTAGCGCACAGAAGGAGGCGAGAGCAACGAAAGAAGAAGAGAACTTCATGCCGAAAGAAGTTGAATGGCGAAAGAAAAACGACGATGAAGATAATAAGAAAGAAAAAGCAAAAAACCGAAGCGCTAGAGACTGTCGGAGGACTGGAGTGTGCTTTCCCTGTGAGCGACGCCAACCCTTATAAGCGACTCCCGTATGACGAAACGAAGATCGCCGTCAGTCACGGTGAGCAAAGCTGTTAGCCGCCTGGGTGACGGCAAGTCCGTTAAGCGGCCTCTAAGATGCAAACAAAGCTCAGACTGAGAACAGAACAGAGCACACAGGTCTTCCTGCTGCGAACGAACACATTTCCGTGAACGTATTGGCTGACGGATAATTCCATGGCTTGCGCAGGTTCTATGGCGCTTGAATGCGCGTATGCGTATGCGCCGCACCATCCACCGACGGGCATGCGTACGCGCTGCGCGAGGCACCCCAACAGAGTTGAGGTAAATCCCCTGTGCAATCAAGGGTAGGTGTTTGCGACCCTTGTCCAATGGCGCCAGTGGGTTTGAAGTACGGAGTATACGCAGCATCTCTCTTCTCGTACTCGCCAGCATCGGGCATACTCGTATCAGAAGAGCCATCCCACAATTGAAGGCGCTGTACTGACTTGTTACGACTGGGCTGTAGAAGAGCACAGTGGGAGACATTAGAGACATTCCGCACACGGGTTTGAGCCCATGTCGACCGAACGAAGAGCGGCTGCGGATGCCTCGCCACTGTTTGCGGTCGCTTCGGAAATGGCCGCTCGCGCAAGCTTGAGCGGCTTATAAGGTCCGAGCGACTGTTGTGGCGACGCTCCAACCCGCACCACGACTGAGTGAGGGAGCGACCAAAACACCGTGTGCGGAATGTCTCTATTGTTCGTGTGAGGGTCACCAAGTGTATTACACGGACAGCCTCATCCTCGCACTGATTGAAGGCTTCTGCATCGCAATAGCGTAAGCGGCACAGACGCTGCCATCCGGTGATGCAAGCAGCATGCTAACATTCGACGCTACGATGCTAGATAACGCCGAATTGAAGCCGCCCATTCGATAGGGCCCGGTGTCAGTCCAGGTCCAGATTGACACGTCACGTTGAATATCGTAGTTGACGTTGACGGGCTCATCGGAGTCGCACACACACTGCGACCCCATCGCGAGAGCGGCACAAAGTGTTTATCTGGTGTGGGCCAATGGGGCCAGTCAATTCTTGCGACACGACAGAACAGAACAGAGCAGACGACAGAATCGAGCAGACCGGCTCACATCTGTAATGTGCCTGTCGGCTACTGGTGATGGCGCTGATCCCGGAGCTCACTTCCACATCGTGCGAGGACAAGCAAGTCCGAAAGCGGTTCGCCATCCCCCACCAAGGGCTTGCGCCTGAACGACACCGTTGAGGCAGCTCTTCACGGTGTACGAGCAGCTATTGAGGCAGGCGAATGCGCTGCGGCTCACCAGCCTCAGGTGCGACCTATCAGCAAACCCGAGACTGTCGCTTTTCTGAAGGAACGACGAAGGGCTTACCGCCTATTCGTCTTCGATTCCATTGTAACCTTAAGTCGTACTCAATATCAAATACTACTGCAGTCTTTGTATCTACAGTACATGAACTATAGCGTCTTTACCACTATGTGCGCATTCGCGGGACGTCGCTCAGAGACCCGTACTGCGCCAAGATACGCCCTCGTACAGGCGTCGCCCGCGTTGAGCAAGACACCACCTCCTTCGGTGCAGCGTTGAGAGACTTGCTGCCCCACTGCGGTGCGAGCACGAGGCGTCGGAAGTGAGCTCCGGGATCAGCGCCGTCACCAGTAACCGACAGGCACATTACAGATGTGAGCCGGTCTGCTCGATTCTGTCGTCTGCTCTGTTCTGTTCTGTCGTGTCGCAAGAATTGACTGGCCCCAATGGGCGGAGACCGGAATTGGGGACTCGATGGGAGAGATAGAGAAGGGGCGACAAGCTCGGGGCAGGGATCGGCGTTGGTTGCAAGGCTGCCGTGCCTGGAGTGATGGAGTGTAGTCGGATCGTAATACACATGACCTTTTGACTCTCAGCTGATAGAAGACGGCAATCGGCAACACATGGAAACAGATTTCGGTGAGGGCTATCTAGATCTACACTGAATACTAGTTGCCGTGATTGGAAGGAAAAAACTTTGACGAGAGTGGGATTCGAACCCACGCCCTTTCGGACCAGATCCTTAGTCTGGCGCCTTAGACCGCTCGGCCATCTCGCCTTGCGGTTTATCTGGGCTATAAAATATATATTTCACAAAGGCTACTTCCGGTCCTTCGCCACTCCGCCGACGCAGCAACTGTTCGTCAGCGTCTCAAGCGTTTGGCGCTGGCCGACGTTCCTCTCAACCGCCATATTCTCATATCAGGAGACGCCGTCTCTGTACGACTAGCCCGCCATGTCGGGTGTACAAGAGATCCGCTTCAAGCGCCCATTGACGGAAGAGAAGGAGAAGGAAAAGGCAGCCCCGAAGCTTCGGCACACTGGTATCCTGCAAGACCAGCTACGAAGGTGTGTGTCCACTGCGTCTATACGATGCGCTATGTAACGCGATTTTGGTCAGGACAGCGAAGCCACCATTTGTACCCAGCTTCTCTCTCGCTGTACGCATTCTGCTGCTGGCGCGCGTCACTGCGGCCATGTATTCGAACATCTCAGACTGCGACGAAGGTACATCGACGCGTACGAATTCGTACCAACGTGTAGATTAACGAGTACTCGTAGTCTTCAACTTTTGGGAGCCACTACACTACCTTGACCGTGGATACGGTTTACAGACTTGGGAGACGTCCCCCGTGTACGCAATCCGAAGCTGGGCGTACATCATCCTGCATTATGTTCCCGCCAAGATATTGTCATGGACCATCCGTGAAGATAGCAAGGTGAGCACGGCTTTGTTGCCCCCCCTCCCCTTGCAATGACTGACTTGCGACACAGCGGGCGGCATTCTTCACAGTTCGGATACTTCTAGCCATAGTTTCCACGCTGTGCGAGGCCAAGTTATTCGACACCATCAGAGAAAAGATTAACAACCGCGTTGCCCGATACTTTCTAGTGTATCTCTTCACAAGTGCCGGAATGTGGAACGCGTCGACCGGTATGCTTAATCTACTACTCGGCGCGACTGAAATCGCTGAGATCCGATTCAGCTTTCTTGCCTTCGACATTTGCTATGTATGCGACCACTCTGGCTTATGCCTACGCGTTCATCCCCGCTGCGCAGAAACTCGAGAGACGCACACTTATTGCAACGACGTCTTTCGTGGCTGGGGCTGTGATTGGTTGGCCGTTTGCGCTAGTATGCGCACTCCCGTTTGTGTTCGAGGAGATGTTCGTCTTTGCAGGCGACCGTGTGCAAGCCGCTCAGCGTCCGAAATGGATGCTCAATCGCTGGACTAGGCTCGCTTGGAATGGTTTCCTCGCCATGCAGCTGGTGGTGAGCGTAACGATACGATCGGCGCGAGAGTTTTGCTAATGTTACACGCACAGATTCCCGTGTTTGCTGTGGACACCTACTTTTATGGCGAGCAAGTATTCGTGCCCTGGAACATTGTTAAGTACAACGTATTCCCTGATGCTGAGCGAGGTCCCGGCCTCTACGGCACGGAGCCCTGGTACTTCTACATCCTCAACCTTCTCCTGAACTTCAATATCGTGCTGCCTCTGGCGTTAATGGCACTACCCGCTCTCGCACTCACATATCGCGTCGATCGCAAACGTCTAGGCTACTTCTTGGGTTCTCCGGAAGAGAGCTCGCCATATACTATGCTTGGTCTTCGTCTAACGCCGGTTTACATTTGGTTCGCCATCATGACTGCGCAGGCCCACAAGGAGGAGCGCTTCATGTTCCCAATCTATCCTCTGCTGTGCTTCAACGCTGCTGTCTCCACATACCTCATTCGTGGCTGGCTGGAGGTGATCTTCGTCAAGATCACTAAATCACCCTACCGCGTAAGCACCGTCAAGATCTTTCCGGATGCGCTAAGCTGATTATAGCCGCCTACAGGCTTCTCAAACTTCGATATTCAGCAGGGCCACGCTGTGCATCACGCTGGTCCCTGCGTTGTTCTCTCTCGCACGCATCATGGCCCTCTGGAAGTACTATCATGCGCCCATGCAGATCTTGTACCGATTCCAGTACGAAGAGGGGCCCTTGTTGCTGAATGCAACTGGCCTATTGCCTACGCCCCTGCCACCTCCTGAACTCCTTGCCGAGTACTACGCCAAAGAGGCCACTAGGAAGAAGAGGAGTGACGAGGATGATGAGCGCTTGGACCTCGGCCCGTTGCGAGAGTTTGGTCTCCGGATTTGCTATGGCAAAGAGTGGTACCGTTTCCCCGGTCACTACCTCGTGCCCGACGGTGTCCGGGTCGATTGGATCAAGAGCGAGTTCGACGGCATGCTTCCCGCGCACTTCACGGAGACGGTCGCAGAAGCTGGTCTACCTGCACGCGTCGCGGGCACATCGGCTGTGCCTGAAGGCCTGAACGACCGTAACTTGGAGGAGCCGGCGTTCTATGTACGCTGTTCATCTTGATAGTTCCCCGTCCTGTGCTCTGACATCTACTGCAGGTTCCTGTATCGGAATGTGATTATCTCATCGACCTTGACTTCCCAGAGCACCCATCCTTGTCCCTCAACGAGCCTCGCTACGCCATCGATGCTCAACATTGGTCGCGTCAGCACTGCGAGCCGTTTCTCGATGCGCGCCATTCGCCTTTGATCACGCGTATGCTCTGGTTACCTGGCAAGAACTGGGCATCTTCGAACTCGTACGGGGACTATTGCTTACTACGGAACACCGCGTTAGTCGACGAAAAGATTTCGCGGGTGAGGGCGGAGGTAAAGGAACGCAAGGAGAGGGTTTCCGTTCTGTAACATGTCGTAGAAAAGTATACTATAGCACAGCCCCTCATGCTCTGTCGAAGTTCCGTTATTGCGACGAATCTGTACGGCGTAAACTCACGCTTTCAATAGCAAATAGTCGTGGACATCCATCAAAACCGTTGTCCTCCAACTGTTCGTCGTTGACGCCGCCGGATTAGGTCCGTCAGCTGGTAGGTTCGTGAATAGATGCAACGAAGATGTCGCCTATGAGAATCCTGACATACAGCCCCGAGGCGCAGCTATTGGGCCGCTTCTCAAGCGGAATGCGCCCGGGCGCTGATGATGATGGGCAAAGATGACGGCAGGACAGTCCGCGGGCGGTCTGGCTGAGGATACGTGAAGCTCAATAATGCAGGGAGCGTACTGGTACGGTCGTGTTGAGTCCCGATTCTGTGGGCCTTCCTGGACCCACAGCGATCGCCACTTGCCACTTGACCGCCATCTACCGCCGCCAGACGCGATGAATGGACCCTGAACAAGCCTATTCTCCAAAGCCCAATTCGGTCGATCATCTTGGCTTCTACTGAATTCGGCGGTGCCTCTCGGGCACAGTGCCGCTTCTGTTTCCGCCGGATCGCACCGAGCCTGCATGTTGCCCCTGCTCCCCGCACTTGTCATACCCAAAGCGGCCAAGGTGGAGATGCATACCCTCGCAGCCCATCGCAGTGTGCATCAGCGATCGTGTTTGGTCTTGGTGCCTCGGCACGAACCAGTAAGCTGACCGAGCGACGAATCAACTCATCTGGATCGTCTCTATAAAAGCACCTCCCATGAGGCCGACAGCCCTTAGGCCTCAGGCTCTCTTTCCTTTCTTCTACGGTTCAGAGTTTCTGTCTTACGCTTACGCTTAACGCTATCTATCGCACACTATGCGTTTCTCTTCTACTTGCTTCGCCGCCCTTGGGGCTTTCGTCTCTGCTGTTGCCGCCATCCCGTTGTTGGACCCCCTCAATCCGGCGAAGCCATTTGGAGCAGTTTACTGTGCGCATTCTCATATGTACTACGAGAACGTGTGCTGACTCTCACAATAGTCATCACGAACAGTCTCGACGAGAATTTCGTTATTGCTGCGCAAGTGGGAGAAGATGGTATCGCGGTTAGTGTCCCGGATAGTACGCTTCGTGACTGGACTGATCGCTCATTCATCCTTTGCAGACTGATGTCAAAGCAGTTTCTGCCAATGGCGTTGGCGCACAGGGCCAGCCGCCCAACCGCGGCTCTCTATTCTCGCAGGGCCCGGTTCAGGTCAATCAGGCGACCGGCCGCCTCGCTGTCGTCAACGCAGGTTCCAACACCGTACAACTGTTCGACATCGACCCCAACAACCCAACAAACATCACTGCAATTGGCAAGCCCGTTCCCTCTGGTGGCGACTTCCCTCAGTCTATCGCATGGAACAACGCCGGCGACAAGATATGTGTCCTCAACGGCGGCCTGAAGTCCAATGTACAGTACGTGTTCTAATCATCAATCTTCCAACGCGTCTTTGCAAACTTTGTCTTCTCATCACTGTCATCGCCAGGTGCTTCCTCGTTGACAAGAAGGGCAAGCTCACGGCGGTCGGCGTTGGTGACATCCAGACCTACAACCAGACCTCGAACCCTCCTCACGGTCCCGCTGGGACCGCTTCGCAAATCATCTTCACCGCGGATCAGGGTGGAATCATTGCTGTTGCGAAGGGCATTCCCACGGACTTCGAGAACAACCCCGGTTACCTGCGCGTTTGGCCCCTCTCCGACAACGGCACCATTGCCTCGACGCCTTTCCAGATCAACATCACTCAACCTATCGGAGGGCTTACGTTCAGCTTGTCTCAGGCTGCAGGACGCCTTGTATACGTTGGCTCAGACGCGACGAACGGTGGTGTCGTCGTCGACATGACCGCCGGACCAGGCAACGCCATCTTCAAGCCCATCGACCTCCCGAACAACAAGGGCAACTGCTGGTCCGTCAGCGCACCCAAGACAGGCTCCTTCTTCATCTCCGACTTGCTCAACGACAAGATCAATGAGGTCGCGCTTGACGATAACAACAATGCCACCCTTGTCCGCCAGTACGATGTTCCCGGCATGGGTCCTAACGAAGCCGTCGTTGCCGAAATACAGGGCCAGGAGTTCATGTACATGCTCATGGAGGGTGCACAGTCTATCGGCGTCTGGCGTCTCGACGGTCCTGGACAGGCTGTCTTGACACAGCTATGGCAGGTCTCCATTCCCGTTCAAATTCTTGGCGTCACTTTCGGTTAGTCGTCTTCACAATGACAGCCCCGATACTCTACTGACTACGTTACAGACGAGTTGCTCATCTCGGGCATGTCAATCTACGTCTCACCATGAGATACTCTGCAGTGATACTGCTTGGTTCTGCTTTGAAATGGTCTCTGGTTTCTCTTGTTGTTCTTCTTTCTTTCCCGGGGATCATACTTTACTTGTTTCACTTAGTTTATTACCTTCAGTCTTGGGTTTTGTTGTACATACTACCTTTCATTAATGAAACCTACTCATAGTCATTCACTGGCTGTTGGTAATGATCAGCGTGTCAGAGGAATACTCGATCTGCCGCAGATACGTCAGCCTTACGCGTCTGTGCACGCGCAGCTTCACCGTGATTGTGGGGCCTTGGTGGACTGCTTGACGCGATAGTCGGATTCCGATCCTTACTTGTGATCGGCATGCGTATCTGATCTCTCTCATCTGGAAGCTACCGTCGATGGAGTCAGAAGGCAGCGCAAAACGCATGATATCTCCTTGAGTATGATAATGTGTATATATACAGATGATGTCGGGTATGATATGAAGGGGTCTAAATGCAAGGGAACAGTCCACAGAGCTAGATAAAATGCCTGACCTCAGAACATAGATGCTATGGTGTCGCCAGCCGCGACAGTCTCTACTGGAGCAGAAGCTCGCCTCTTGAATCCCATCTTCTCCTCGATCTCACGAGCCTTCTTTTCACGCCACTCGCAACCATCCATGTATTCGCAAGAACTATCGCAAAGCGGTCAACATATGACCACGTATCAGAGACAGAGACCACGTACGAGCATCTGCGAGCATTCTCTTCAGAGACGCCCTCCGGAGAACGATCACCGAACCAGAACGCAAACACATGCGCCAGGTGTGTGTCGAGGAGCTCGTCGTCCAGCTCGAAAGTCTTAGTTCCGATGATTCGCGACTCCTCGCCGGTAGCCTCTTCGTCTGCCCTATCCTTTCTTCTCTCGAATGCCTTCAATAGATCGTCGGTCGACGCAAGGGCAGCTTCTGGCAAGGATGCCAGGAGATCCTTGACCTGCGATGGGGACACTGGAGCGATATTTGACGCAGGTGTAGCAGTCGCCGACGATGGCCCTTCATGTCCAGGCGACGCATCATTCGGTGCATCTGAGGTGACGGAGCTCGATGTTTGCGAGGGCACAATAATCTCCTGTGACGCAGTCCCAACAGGTGTAGGGGACGCGCTCTGCGTCGACGGGATACCGTGGGTTGCGCCAGTAGTCGCATCTGCGGGGCGCATACCAGGAGGATATTTGCGCGCTACAGTCTGAGCAGCAATCATACGAGCCAACTCCGGATCCGCGCCTTCTTCCTGTAGGAGCTTCTGCTCGAGGGCGGCCTGAAGCAGCGCGGCATCCTCAGCCGCCCTCTTCTGCGCTTGCGTGCTCCGTTGACTGCGGTACACAATCTCCAGCGTACGATCGACGTGTACAACGTGCAACTCGGCGAGACGCTCGTGGAAGGCGGCGACGAGGGCAGTTAAGGTGCGTGGGAAGCTTCCGTACTGCTTGAGCACGAGCTTCTCCTTATCTGCTCCGGGAAGCAGAGGCAGCGCTTGTTCTAAGAACTCGTCGCAGAGCGTCTCCATCGGGTCGACGCCGAGTCGTGCCCAGAATGAGGCCCAAGGGAATGACGGGGATATCACGCCCTCCAATAGCCGCTGGTAGATCATCAACTGCAGTCGCGCAGATGTCGCGTCTTCATCAGAGGGCAATGTCTGTTTGCGACGCGTTTTCGTATCCGAGAGGTGCAAGGCGTAAGACAGCGTGTTGGGGTCCGCGGGATGAACCTTGGTGGAGCTGACAAATGTCGTTAGACGTGTCTGCTGAGTAGTAGGTGTTGCAGCGGGTGCAGGTAGAGATGGCCGCTGCTTCTTTGCTTTACGCGGACTGGAGGGCGTCGATAATGGGCGCTTGATGGTGGTGCCGGAAGCAGCAGTCGTTCTTCTAGCGCTGAATGTCGTTATCCAAGGCTTTCGTCCCACCTCATCCTACTCAGAACATGAGTACAAGGTATAACGGCATGCGAAAACGACCTACAATGATGCCATTGACCAAGTGTCCGTGTAGAATGCCAAAGGAGGGCATCTCACGCTACGATGGTAATCAGCAAGCGTGTAACTGAGTTCAAGGTCAAGCGTACACAGAAGCCGAACGTCTGCATATCGGCTAGACAGGCAATCATTTGTAGCAACCTTCACCGAGCATGAGTATGTGATTTGCGAGATCTTCCTCGATAGTTGGCCCGTATCTGACCTCAAAGCCCATCTCTCGCTCTCATTCATAACCTGAACCTCAACTGTCTCCGGTCGCAGTCGGCGTTCAAGTTTCTGGTGGATGGCCTACGCCAAGTATGAGTCAAGTACGTCCTTGTCTCGAGGAAAGTCTCCATACAGATCCACTCTTCAGCGTGCGATCATTATCCGCAGCGATCTTTTGGTTCACTTGGATGACCTTGTTATCGGCGGTCAAGAACGAAGCGGGCCGCTTCTCCAGTTCTATCCACCGTCGCTGTCGCAGACCATAATCGTACTGTACTTCGCACCTATTGAAGCCCAAATATGAGTTTCATTCAATCATCATTCAATCATACTCCGAAAGAAGGTGGGCCTACCACAAAGGCCCCACAAGGTCAGATACACTCAGTGTTTTGCGCCATGCACGGAACAGGGTGTAAGGACTAGGCGCGTCAATCACAATACGAGTCTCAGAAGAAGTAGATCCGGAAGACGTGAGAGAAGGCGTCGTCTGTAGTGAGCTTGTACGGCTGACATTCCGGCTGCTTCCCGTTGAAGTCGTGGTTAGTGTGGCCGGGCTTGAATGATCCGATGGCGGTGACGGGTAGGCTTTCGAAGGCGAGTGGACAAGCGTGGCGGCCGTAGAGTCTATAGAGGCTAGATCCGCAACCGAGAACTCCGAGAGGTCAAAGCCGGCGAATTCGTCGTATTCATCACAAGGTTGTGTCAGTGGAGGCCCTTCGGGATGTGGTGAAGGGTACGCTTGAGAGGATTGCGGTGGCGCTGCTGATGTTGATCCCACTGAGTCCAGAGCAGCAAAGTCTGTTTGAGAGAAGTCTGACAGATTGTACTGGTCGTATTCGTCGTCGCTCATCGCGAACAAGGCGGCGAAGTGAGCCAATCGAATGCCACGAAAGTCAAACTTCCGCCGGAAGCAGGACCGTCGAGTTATAAGCAAGCCAAGCAAGCCTAGACACGGCTTAGAGGGGAGATAGTGTCCTGTGTCCTCTCTCAAAAAATCGTGCGTCACTTAGGCATGCAAGAACGTGTAAGGTGGTGTCGTGGTCATCGGTTGAGCGCAAGGCGTTCAATGCGCCGGACGTCACCTCACCGTCACAGCTGATCGTTGATTTTGATCCCTCCGCGGTCACAAAGAGAAATAGGTGTGCTGAAAGCGTGTTCATTCATTCTCGTAGAGGTCGCGGGGTTATAGATGTATACGGCTAAGGTCTACTGCGATGATGATGGTGGTCGAGGATGAACCAGTTTAAGCGCCGTTAGTCATATCTTCAGCATCAATTCAGCGGGGTCCGTATTCGGCTCTTGACCCTAACCCCACGTGCGCCACAACAATGGCCGCGGCGGGCATACGACCCCTATTGAGCGCATACTTGATCCACCACCACCACCACCTTCACCACCAATCCCCGATCGTTCCATTGGGGCCCTAGCTCTTGGTCAACAGATGCAACGCACTGGTCCTCCGTCCGTCAGCGAGCTCAAAGCTCACGATGATAAGACAATCTTCAGAGCGCACAATGACAAGGCGAACTTCTCCAGGAACACAAAGCGTGCCTGCGTATCTTGTGGCTCCCAGGACAGCGAGGATGCATCTCTGAAGGTTTGTACAGGATGTAAGAGGATGTGGTACTGTGTGAGCCCCTATACGCTGCCAGACTCCTGACGACCAACTGAACCTCCCGTGGATAGTCCGGTGCCTGCCAAAAGTCGGATTGGAAGCGCCACAAGCCGTTTTGCAAGAGTCACCAGGAGACTCAAGCGGCAATGGAGCGCGATACTCAGATTCTGAAGACTCTTGATGGATACGACATGCCTCCTCTGACGGTAATACGTGATATGCTCGAAGACTTTGCCAACCTGCACCATCGCGTAGTGTCTATCGTGGTCGGTCATGAGCTAGGCTCACGCAGTACCGCCTTCCCGCCTCTGGACGTGAAGAAGGATTGTATCGCGTTGACGCTCAAAATGCGCGATCCGAATGCTAATCCGGCTTCTATTTTTGCGTTCACTGGAGGGTCTTTGCCGTGCCATATCAACGGTCTTGATTCTGAGAAACAACGGCTGCTTGCGCCCTACTCCGCCAAGCTATCCGACACCAATGTTCAGTATTCATCGCAAACGGATATATGTTTCATCCCTGCTCTAAGTGAGTTTTCTGAACACACTGGCCGCTTACTCTGCGTGCTGAGGTAGGGTCTAGTTGCGGTGGAGCAACCCCCCTTCTTGTATATCACCACCGTCGAACTCAGACGCCCTCAACTCGATCTGAATCTACTCAAGAAGACTGTACCTGAGGACGCGCCGTGGTGGGCTCAACTTGAATACAACGCTCAAAAGGGACTCGTTGTGCGCAGACATTGGAATGAACGCATCAAGACTTACGTCGAAATGCTTGGAACGTTGAAGCAGGGTGATGACGCCTCTTGGCGATGGGAGAAGGCGAATGACAGTAGAGTGAGCGATCAGCAACTGCACTTTTGCTTTTCGGCTGACGGGCTCGATCAGGGAAACCAGAAGGCTGAGGAGGAGATGCGAGCAAGGAAGAAGCTGTTGCGAAAGCAGTGAATCCTATAGAAGATCACTAGGGACGTTGTCACAACCCATGACTTCTGTATTGCTTTGCGATGTCTATGCATACCAATGCGTTCTTTACGGATCTCTAACTTACTGGACTGAAAAACTGCGGACGCAGGGTCGGTATGGAAAGAGCGCTTCCGGTCTGACCGGCCCGCGCGGCAGAAGCCATGGTTGTGCCTCATGTCACGACAATACAGCTTCGCACTCCGCAGCGTGGTGTTAAACGACAAATGGAAAGGCGCGAATCCAAGACGAGTGTAAACACGAGTTCTTAGTGATATATTGGCCTGATAGACGTCGATGGCGCTACAGGCTCTCCGATTCAATTTATCAACTTTCTAGGAACCTGTGGACGGGTAGAGAGTCCGTGATCCCGCGTAATGCAATATACAAAGTCCCCGCGGCGTCCACAGAGAGAGAGTAGAATCAGAGGGCGTCATCATCAACGGGGTCTAGTGATGGTGTGAGACAACGAGGCGGAATAGGGGCGGGGGCGCGTCTTGTTGAACGACTTCCACACAGTAAACACGCGCCGGGCAGGGGAAACGGTCGACGCGATGGCAGAACCCACCAAGCTGCGACTTCCGCCAGACCTCTCGTACCCGATCACCGTCGTCGACCTCCACGAGCAGCCGGGCGCGTCGCTCGCTCCCGGCACCCGGCTCTTGACCTACTCCTGGCTCTCGACCGACAAGTCTGCGGATGCACCCCCTCCGCCAGACGGCAAACCCGCGCCCAAGCAGAAGATCAAGCTTTTCGGCACATGGGACTGCTCCATCGAGGGCACTCTCGACGAATGGCTGCTCAGCAAGGGCGACGTCATCTCCCGCGAACGCGCCAGACAGCCCGTCCTCCACGCTACCGAGCCCTGTCAACACGGCGTACAGATGGGCGGCCTGTGCGCGCTGTGCGGTAAAGATATGACAAAGTACGTGTCCCGGCTATACATATACATGTGGCCTGTGTACTAATTGTCGCTGGCGTTTTGCAGGCAAGACTACGCCGGATTCTCGGACGCGTCCCGGGCTACGATCCAGATGAACCACACAGCCAACGGGCCCACCGTCTCCTTCGCAGAAGCACAGCGCATCGAGCGCGAGACGGCCGACCATCTCCGCGCGGAACGCAAGCTGTCGCTCATCGTCGACCTCGACCAAACCGTCGTCCACGCCACTGTCGACCCCACCGTCGGCGAATGGATCGCGGAGGGCGAGGCGTGGGAGGCGCGGCAGGCCGAGAAGGCTGAAAGGAAATCACGTAGAGAGGCCAGAGCAAGGGAAAGGGCAGAGAAGGGCGAGGATGACGATGAAGGGGAGGGCAGCAGTTCGTCTTCGGACGAGGACGACGATGAGAGTGATGCCGATGCCGACGACGACGAAGAGCCGAACCCCAATTGGGAGGCACTCAAAGACGTCAAGCGCTTCCGTCTTGCGACCGACGGTGTCCCAGCATCTCGAAGCAAAGGCAAAGAACGCGCCATCGACCAAGGATGCCTATACTACGTCAAGCCGCGGTGCGTCAAAATCATGTCGGCACTGGAACTGTTCACTAAGATTGACTTGTCATAGGCCGGGGCTGCACGAGTTCCTCAGCAGCGTCGCGACCAAGTATGAAATGCATGTTTATACTATGGGTACGCGTGCTTACGCTGAGGAAGTGTGCGCCGCCATCGATCCCGACGGCAAGTTTTTCGGCGGTCGCTTGCTTAGCCGCGACGAAAGCGGCAGTGCGTATCTGTCTAACACTGTCCCCTGGACTCTAAGCATAGTTTGCTCAATACTCTCATCCAGGCATGACCCAGAAGAGCTTAGAGCGCCTATTTCCTGTCGATACCTCCATGGTGGTGATCATCGACGACCGCGCAGACGTATGGGGATGGAACGCCAACCTTGTGAAGGTCATCCCATGTAATATTCCTCCTCATTCCTATCTATTACGCAGTTCACTGATATATTTGCCCCTATACCAGATGATTTCTTTGTCGGTATCGGCGACATCAACTCGGCCTTCCTCCCCAAAGCCGACCCATCATCAGCGCTGTTGACTCCCTCAACATCGGCAACCGCAACGCCTACTCCACCCACGACCCCGCCCCCTCCTCCACCACCGTCTTCCTCGCCAGAATCATCTCCAGAACCGCGTACACCTTCTCCAGAAGTCTCCGCCAAGGATGTACTTGTCGCGCAGAACTCTGCTGCACTAGAATCTCAGATTGAGGCCCGACCATTAGCGAAGTTGCAGGAGGAGATTGATGAAGCGGAAGGGGATGATAAGGGTGTCGAGGCGCCGAAAGAGGCGGATGAGCAGCCACAGTCTGAATCCCCGGTTGAGAGCGGCGAGACTCAACCGTCGAGTGATGCGTCAATCAACACGGAGAATGCGAGGCCCAAGCGTGCGCATCACAAAGCGCTGTTGAATAACGACGACACGGAGTTGCGACGCGTACAGAAGGTCAGTTCTATATTCTTGTCGTATCATATGCTTCGTAGCTTGACGCAAACCACAGTTCCTTGACGAGATCCACCGACGATACTACGACGAGAATGACAAACGCGGCGGCGCATCGGGTGCCGGCGCAGGCAAGCAACGCGGGACCCTCGCCCTCCCCTCTGCACCCACCATCATCTCGCGCATGCGCTCCGAAACCCTGTCAGGCTGCACACTCGTCTTCAGCTCCGTCATCCCACTCGACCTCCCACCCGAACGCGCTGAGCTATGGCGTCTTGCCACATCCTTCGGTGCTGCGTGTCGCAAGAGTCTCACTAAAGATGTCACACATCTTGTCGCGGCCAAACGGGGGACGCAAAAGGTCGCGCAAGCGAAGGGGATGAAGGACGTGAGCGTCGTGTGGGTCAGCTGGTTAACGGATAGCATCGCGAGGTGGGAACGGATGCCCGAGGCGGGGTACTTGCTCGATGCACCCGTACCCGAAGAAGCTGGTGCGGTAGATGCTGAAGGTGAGGACGAGCCCGACAGCCCTGCCGCTGGCGCCGCTGAGCAAATTAGCTCGGATCCGGAACCAGACGCGGACGATTGGGATCGGGAGCGGGGTGGGACGGGTGAGCCGGAGGGGAAGGGCGCGGTAGAGTCCGAGTCAAAAGACGGGGAGAGTGTAGGGACGGGTGAAGGGGAGGAAGGGATGGAAGATGCTGGAGAGGATGTTGTTGATTTTGGGCTTGTCGCGTGGGACGATGCGAATGATGAGCTTGAGGCGTTTTTGGCGGAGGAGGATTCGGAGGAGGATACGGATATGAATGGGGAGGGAGATGGGGAGAGTACGGGTGGGAGGTGAGTCTTTTCGTCACATGTTTGTATGCAGTCGTTGACATGCATACAGCGCACCGGGGACACCACGAAAGAGTCGGAAACGCCCACGATCACGCTCGGGTACGCCAAACTCCACAAGTAGCAACGGCAACGGCACCGCAGAGTACGACGACGACATGCTTCGTTCCCCGCTAGCGAAACGGAAACGCGTCGCACAAGAACGGACACCGTCCGCTCTGAAGAACTCGACCATTATCACCACTACCGCGCCCGGGTTAAGGTCAAGAGAAGGCTCAGCCGATATCGGAAGTCCTCCAGCGGCATGGGAAGAAGACGCCGCTATGAGCGAAGGCGGCACTGACGCGGGCGAGGAGGAATTTGACTTTTTGGCCGGAGAGATGGAAGAGGAGATGGATGAAGAAGACGACGATGAGGACGAGTGAGAGTAATGACATTCGGTTTTGGTCTTATGCGGTTTTTATTGTGCGTTTGGCTCGATGGACTCTTTAGGTGTCGTATAATCAAAGTTGTATAGTATCATTGATATTCTCTACGTTTACTTTCTTGACGGTTGTACTTAGTTTGGGTTGGAGTTGTCAACGGTACCGGTGGAACTACTGCGTTACTAAGGTTAGGGTCAGGATCGGCTACACATTGCACAACATGCCTGTACAGCGGCGACTTGGATATTTCCAATTGCGTCCTCCACATTCCGCGCGCTTTGGGTGTGATCCTTTTGCAAGAACACGAAAGTGTGCGTGCTTTTTATATAGTACTAATTAGCATGCATATGATCTCTAAAATGATTCAACAGGCGCGGCAAGTGATGTCTAGGCCATGACTGGACGCAATTTGCAATGGCGTCGGTTGCGACCAGACGAGGTCTGCTCCCGCCCCCGACTTTGACTCTCCGTGCTATATCAATCTGGACCTGGCGGCCGACTCTCGCGCGGATTCCTCGGGCTCGGGCCCGTCCTAGCCCGTCTGGCTCACAGAACACAACCTCCAGCACACCTACGCTTCGCGAACAGCGCATATATATGCGCTCATAGTCGACGTCGACGTCGACGTCGTCGACTCCGGACAAAGCAGGGCACATTTCATTTATGCTTTGCATTTCAGCGCTTGTATGACCCCACCGTGACATAGCCACCGATCTTATCTGCCCCCGAATAATCGATTGCGCTTTCCCAGTCCGGGAATTAAAGCATCTGGCGCCGTTCGTGCCTGGTGCATTGGGCTCTGCGCGCCCGCTGCGGCCTGCGACGGCGTAGTGCAGCGCTGGGGAGGTCACTGGGCCAGCTAGTGTACGAGCATCCGAGTACAAAGAGGTGAACGACGAGCGCACGAGCTAGCTTTGACGGTAGCAAACTCATATAGTCGTTGACTCTTGCGGCGCGCTTGTCCATACGCGTCGCAGCCGCCGGACCGAAGGATAGCGCCGCTTTCGTCACCTCTCGAACGCCCGTGGCGCTGTTGTTCGACGGAAAGAGCAAGGGCCGGTGGTCCATCATGATGAGCGCGCTGTAACGCGTCTATAGGCATCGGAAGAAATGGAGAGCGGTCAAGAGGTTGCTGCGAAGGTGGGAGGAGCCCAAGAGGACTCACATGCGTAACGCGTGTGGTCGCGTGTGGCTCGTCGGATATACTGCCAGCCGCGCCGCCGGGCTAGTCTTTTGTTCGTCCTTTGCGGTCTCTCCGCGCGAGCCAAACAAAGGAGCGAGGAGCAGGAAGGCGGCGAGGCTCGATTTGGGTTGTTAGACGCGCGCTTTCGGGCCTGTGGCGGGAGTTGCGGGGTGGATGGATAAACCGGGATCTACAGGTATCAACACGCGTGAGCCGGAGATCAGGGCTGTGCGCTTGTTGTGGTTCGTTCGTCCGTCATCCGGTGGCACGCATGGACCTGCGGCAGGCGCCTCTTCTGTTACATACACACGTTCGGAACAGCTTCGCCAGCTGTCACTTGGCTTTCGGAGTGGCTGTTTTGGAGGGGATTAATGGGAGGAAGGCGCGGAAGAGGACGAATTCTGCTTTGGACGCGGATGTCTCGGCTGCGCGGCGGGGCGGAGGCTGAAAAGAAAGGAGAGGTGATTAAATGTCCAGGGACCCGATCGCCTGTACCGATTTCGCGAGGGGTGTGTCCGTCAGAGGGGATCAGAAAAAAGGAGGAGGGAAATACGGCTTTCCGTCCTGACGGCCATCTGCGTCCTCCTCCCTCGACTCTCTCCCTCTCGCTCGCTTTCTTTGCATTCGCAGTCGCTTCTTCGCTTTCCCGTCGCTCTTCGCTGTGCACTCTACCCTACATGTCTCGCCAAGATTATTCCGACTATGAACACAACGCACCTCGCTTTGAGCAGCATGACCACTGGCAGCAGCAGAGAAATCATAACCTGTACGATCTTCCTCGTCCGCCCGCGCATCCTGCCGCACAGGCTGGTGGCGGTGGCTCCACGCTCTACTGGGGCGATCTCGAGGCATGGATGGACCTCGAGTGGGCACAGCGTGTGGTTTCGCTCATGAAATGGAACGCGAGCGTGCGCGTACCCCATCCGGGCCCTGACGCCACCGTACGTGTCCCCTCTCCCCATAAAGTATCTCATTCTCATCACGAATAGGCGAACAACCCCGGATACTGCTTCCTGACTTTCCCCTCGCCCGCAGAGGCCGCCACCGTGCTCGCACAGATGTCTGGAGTGGCAGCTACGATGCCCAACTCGGCGAAGCAGTTTAATCTCAAGTGGGCCAGCTCCGTCCCCGCACCCTCGTCGGCCGCGAGCGGACCGACGTCGCCGCCCAGCTCGACCCCGCAGCCGGCGTTTCCGAAGGAGTATTCGATCTTCGTCGGCGATCTCGCGCCCGAGGCGTCTAATAGTGATCTTGTGGCCGTGTTCCGCAACCCTGTGCTGGGCCTGAGGAACGACAGAGAACCAAAGTTCATCCGGCCCTTCTTGAGTTGCAAGAGCGCGAAGATTATGCTCGATCCTGTCACCGGTGTCAGCAGGGGCTACGGCTTTGTGAGGTTCACGGATGAATCCGATCAACAAAGGGCTCTCATTGAAATGCACGGCCTTTACTGTCTTTCGCGTCCCAGTACGTGCATTTGATCATCAAGTTGTATATGCACACCCCTAATATGACATATCACAGTGCGCATCTCGCCTGCCACAGCCAAGTTCAAGCCTCAGCCTTCGTACGACCTTCCACAGGTCCAGATGCCCGCCCACTTGAATCCCTCGGGTCCTAGCATGGGTTCTCTCCCGAACTCTTCGCTACCTTCACTCGCTTCGGCGGGCAGCACCAACTCAAGCGCGTCCCTCGCGTCTTTGTCTGACATTGACCTGGCAGGCGTCCCACCTGGTGTCCTCGCGCAGCTTGCTCAGCTTGCCGCCGCGTCTACATCTCCCAGCTCTGCGCCCAGACACGCCTCGCATCCTCACGCGCAGTCGTTGTCTTACGTCCCTAGCGAAGCTGCTCGATTCGGCATGACGGAGGAGAGTTGGAAGCATCAGGCTCAGGCGCGCGCAATTCTGAGCAACCTCATTGGGCCGAACGGCGAACAGCTTACGAGCACGGATCCGTACAACACGACGGTTTTCGTGGGAGGTTTGAGTCCGCTCATCGCCGAGGATACGCTTAGGAGCTTTTTCGTGCCGTTCGGGGAGATCCATTACGTGCGTGCTCTCCATTTCAGTCCCTTCGTCTCCCGGTTTGGGTGAAAGGCGTGCTTTAAGATGTGTTCGCTGACGTTCGTATGTAGGTCAAGGTCCCCGTTGGCAAAAACTGCGGCTTCGTGCAATTCGTGCACAAAGCGGACGCCGAGCGCGCGATCGAGAGCATGCAAGGTTTCCCCATCGGTGGGAGTAGGATCCGTCTTAGCTGGGGTCGTAGCCAGTACAAGGCTGCTCAGGCCGCCGCACAAGCTGCCACAGCTGCCGTTGCCCCACCTCCCCCGCCGCCGGTACCGGCCGCGCCCGCCGGCATCACACCCGAGCAAGCCGCTCACCTCCTTTCGCGCTTCGGTCTTGCGCAGCAGCAGAAGGACGACCCGCAGAGCCGTCGCTTGAGTGAGGAGAGCGTCCGGGCGCTCATCATGGCCCAAGGACGCGGCGGGAATGTTGGTAGCCATCAGAGCAATGGAAGCGGAAGCAGCGCTGGAGCTGGCGCCTATGCGAATGGCAACGGCGCGCCCTCGTATGGCAATGGCGGCGTCGGGTCATATGGCAGCAATGGATCTGCGTCATACACCGGCAATGGCGCTGGCACGTATGACATGTACGGCTCAGCGCCAGCCGAGCAGGAGTCGCCTGAGCTCGCGCGTGCTCGCAAGCGCGCATTCTCGCCTTTCGCACCGGAGACGACGCCAACTGGGACAAGCTTCTTGGACCAGCGCCGCGGTTCGGATGCAGCCATGCTGCCCATGCTCAAGAGCAATCATACAGGAGGACCCTCGTTTTCGCTCGGAGGCTTCGGCGCCACAGGTGACTTCGTGTCGGGGTCGGGGTCTCGCGATTTTGGAGCTGCCGCACGTGAGTTTGCTACGGGAAGCGCCGGTCGTGACTTTTCGTCAGGTGTTGGCTCGATTCCGCGCGAGCTTGCACCTGGCGCTGGTGCCCGCGAATATGGCGTGAGCTCCGCCCCTCGTGACTTTGCAGTAGGGTCTGCTCCTCGCGATTTCGCGCCTGGGTCGATCTCCCCGGGTAGCCTTGCACGCGCGCCGCGCTTTGAGCCTCAAGCTCCCGGCGCTGTATCCCGGCCACCTTCATCACTCCCACCACCTGAGGTTCTCAAGGGCGAGATGCAGCGCAGCTCGCCGCCGGCACCCGTCTCAAAGCCCACATCGACCGACACGATTCAAGATCTCAACGGTACCCTTGCGAGTCTGAGCCTTGACCTCGAGGAGGGCAAGGTTGTTTAACTTAATGCACCCCGCTTCGTCGCTTTCGTGCATCTGATACCTGCTTTCCGTTACGCTGAGGATTCACGTCTGCAGTAACAACACCGACATCCATATCTAAACCTACGCCTCCTGTGTCAATCTTGTCTGTTCCAACTTGTATCCATCCATATCGTCCTCGCTTTCCATTCATCACACTACTAAACCCCGCTGCTTCCTGCGTCGTCGCTTTCGTCGTCGTAACTTAAAACAACTGTACTTCAGCATCTCCCTCCGCTATCCTTCATTCACCACCACTTCGTTCTTCATCCATCGCATTGTCCTTACCCCTCGTCTTTGTCGTACGTGTGGCCATCTGTGTAGCTGTTCTATCCCCCTCATCTCTGTCTTGAATTCGTCGGCCGCGCTGCGCGGTTTAATGCTGATTTCCTGCTCGTTGTCGCTTCGTCGTCGTACGTCTGTAGTACATACTTAACGCTGCCCCGTACTCGATTGTCTTATCTAGGTGTCGGTAGCTGAATTGATTGGACGCTTTGCTTCTCGATATATCCTGTATTTCGAATAAGAAACAAAGCGACGCTTCGGATGTTCAGATGTTCACAAATGGCGCTAGCACAGGCGCGCGTCTCGTCGGTTGTCGCCCTTACACCAGTACCACCATATGCCAATGATACGCTTCAATCTCCCACCAATTTGACTTGCATCAGAATCGCGTACCTTGACTTCCCGGAGTGTCATGGTCCTACTCCGCTACTTGTCATCTTTTACTTGCACTTCCGTAGGCGCTGAGAACGCCGCGACGACGCGTAACGGGATGGCTATGTCGTCGCCATGCTATCTATGACGCGGATGAGTACTCTATAACTGCGAGCCTATACTGCGCAAGGCGCTTCAGCGCAAGAGCTGTCTGCGCTCGGTCTCTTATCCGACGATCTTCGCGATCATCAGCTTCGCTGAGATGTGGACGGCGGCGTGTGCAACGCTTCGCCACGACAGGGCCCTCTTGCAGATGGCCGTCTGCCTAGCTCGCGTCGTACGGAGTTCGGATGTCGTTCAAGGCACTGGGCATTCGTCAGATAACTGTGTGGACGGTCTAAGCATCAGGCTTGTCTTGATGTACGAAGGCATCTTCGCGCGGGAGTCCAGGAAGCGTTACGCCCCTTCGTGAGCGCGCGGTATAAGTACACGGACGGACGCAGTACCGAATCTGCCATACATTGCTCTGCTACTCTACTCTCGTTACAGAACCTCCATCCCATCTTGGCACTCCCCAGCATGGCTTCTACCTTCGCAGAGCTGAAGGCGACCTTCAAGGGCGACCTCATCACACCTGAACACCCAGAGTACGATCAGTCGCTCACGCGCTGGGCCGCAAACTCTCGCCGACGCGCCGCGATAGTAGCATTTGTTCGTGATGCGGCGGATGTGGCGCTCGCACTCAAGTACGCGCGGGACAACAAGCTGCAGATCGCCGTGCGTGGTGGAGGGCATAATCCCGCAGGCGCGTCAAGCGTGGAGGGAGGACTCGTCATAGATCTGTCACGGCATTTGGCAGGGACGCGGGTGGATAAGGAGAAAAAGCTCGCGTATGTTGGCGGAGGCGCGGTCTGGAAGGGAGTGAATGATGAGACGATGAGGTATGGACTGGCGACGACCGGAGGGACTGTCTCACACGTACGTGTTTTGCGTCGGTTCATCTGGATAGATCTTCTACTGATGCATTCCTTGTAGACAGGAGTCGGAGGGTGCGCAGTTCGCTACGTGCGCGCAACATCTGAAGCTGACGGCACCACAGCTTGACTCTGGGAGGCGGATTTGGCTATCTGAGTGGCTCGCATGGATTGGTCGTTGACAATCTGGTACAGGTGCGAGTTCTTCTGGTTTGCTCGCGATGACGAGTTGTTGATCTCCTTCAGGCTACCGTGATCACAGCCGATGGCAGCATCTTGACGGCGAGTGCGACCGAGAACGAAGACCTCTTCTGGGGTGTTCGTGGCGGCGGTTCAAACTTCGGCGTGGTCAGCGAGTTCGTGCTCAAGTTGTACCCTCAACGCCCCACGATACTTTCAGGCTTTGTAGTGTGGCCGGCATCCGAGCTTCAGAAGGTCATGGACGTGGTAGTGGCCAGGCATGGTCGACCGAGAGACGAGCGAGAGTCGTATCTCGTCGCCTTCACCACATCGCCTGGTCCCAAGCATGCAGTGAGTTCTCCTAGACTCTGTAGGGCTCATGATTGGACTCACGGGCTGGCCCATAGCCATGTGTGCTGCTGTTACCATTCTTCAATGGGACCGAGGAGGAAGGCCGCGAGCACTTCAAGGACTTCTTTGACATTGGTGAGATCTGTCCGCGCACCTGTTGTACCCAAAGCAGACGGTGACCGGATGACTACCTTAGAACCTAAGATGCTGAACACGATACGCACTATGCCCTACGAAGAAGTCAACACTCAGCTCGTACGTGCATTGCCCTTCCGTCTCTATGGCCTCCAGCTGATGCTACAGTAGGATGACATGAACCCCATTGGCAACAACTACTACCTCAAGAGCGTTGACCAGCTGAAGCCCGACATTCAGATTGGCAAGGACGTCGCAGAGACCACCTGGAAGCTCTGCACCGAGACAGGCCAACACATCACATACATCTTCGAGTTCTGGAACCTCGAGAAGATCAACAAGGTGCCGATCGAGGCCACGGCGTTTCAACGCACGCCGCGCTTGTCGTCGCTAGTGAACATCCAGTACAAAGAGGATACACCAGAACAGCTTGCGGTTGCGCGCAAGTCAGCGGAGACACTCACGAAGATTGTCACGGCTGCAGAGGGTAACGAGAACGTCAACAACGGGTACGCGAACTACAGTACGCCTTTCTCGTATTCCGGCGGGCTGCACTCCAATTCCTGACTTTACTCCAGATAGCGATGCGCCAGCACTCATCGACCCCAACACCGACGAGGGTGTTCTCTCTGAGACCAAGACGCATGCCTTGTTCGGAAGCCATCATGCGAAGCTCGCGGCGCTGAAGCAGAAGTACGATCCCAACCTTGTGTTCAATAAGTGGTATGTGATCAAGCCGGCGGGTGCCGAGGCCACGTAGATCCGGTTGTGGATACTAGTAGACTGAACGTGACGAGTTGTAATCAGTCTGCGCAGAGCGTGCGCGTGCAATTGTTTGTTGCTATAGACATGTGTCTTTGACAGTAGCCACTGAGCTTGCTCGAATATGTGGAAAGCAGGAGATTGATGCGGGAGCAGTACAAGGTCCGAGGACGCGCGTCATGACCGGGCGGGTAAGTTGACCCCGATATGGCTGCACGCGTTTGAGTGCCGGCTTGCTAGCAACCACCATGAAGGCGCAGACACTGGGCCTCTCCTTGCTGCTCACCGCGGCGCCTGCAGTGCAGGCTGTGCCCTCGAGCGAACTTCAGCATGTTCTCGCGAACGTTGCCCAATACGCGGACGCTGCGACGGGCGGACTCTTCGGAACTGTCGCCAAGGGCGCGAATGCCGTGCTCGACGACATTGAGCAGGTGGTGGAAGAGAAGGTCCACCAGGCTGAGGGTGCCACTGAGAGGTGGTTCGATCGCCTTGGTCGGGAAATGATCAAACAGAATGGGCTTACTTGTATGTCCGACGACGCTCTTGCTCACCCGACGCGCGACTGACGCGTTGTTCCAGACGAGCTCATCACGCACCCTGCCTTTGTGGATCACTCCTTGCGGACCACCGACCCGGAGCTGTGTGACCCGTCTGTCAAGCAACATTCTGGCTATCTCGACATTACGGATGGGAAGCACTTGTTCTTCTGGCATGTCCATTACTCGGCTATGTTGAGAACTGGCTCGACTGACTATCTGAAGGTTCTTCGAGTCGCGCGGAAACCCTTCCACTGACCCACTGGTTCTCTGGGTAAGTGAAGATGATGTCCCACCGCCGAGCGTTTGTTGAGTATTGCCGTGAACAGCTCAACGGTGGACCGGGATGCAGTTCCTCCACGGGGCTGCTCTTCGAGCTTGGCCCCTGTCGCATTTCGGACGAGGGCAAGAACACGACCGTCAACCCTCATGCATGGAACAACAACGCTAACATCATGTACGTCTATGTATCCCACGCGCGCCTGTTTACGCTGACACCCTCCTAGCTTTCTTGACCAGCCCGTTAACGTTGGCTACTCGTACAGTTCGGATGGCTCGAAGGTCAACACGAGTCCCGTTGCGGGGGAGGACGTCTACGCATTCCTAGAGCTATTCCTTGCGCGCTACCCGGAGTACTCTGAGCTTCCCTTCCACCTTGCCGCCGAGAGTTACGGTAAGAACCAGGTTACGAGACCCGAGAATGCTCAATCTAACATCCCTTAAAGGCGGAACATATGCACCGAACATTGCGTCCGTGATTTACAAGCGCAATAAGGAGCTAGAGAGCGCCGTGGCACCCACTCCGGGTGTACAGACGATCAAACTGTCGTCCGTAGTGCTCGCGAACGGACTCACGAACCCATTGATTCAGATGGCGTCTGTTCCCGACTACGCCTGCGAGGGTCCTTACCCCGTTTACGATGATCCCGAGGGTCCGGAGTGCCAGGCCCTGCGCACCAAGGTTCCGACCTGCGAACGCCTTATCAGCAGCTGCTATTCGTTCAACTCGCGTCTCACGTGTGTCCCGGCCGCCCTCTACTGCTGGGGCCAGCTCTTCGGTCCCCTGCAGCGTGAGTTTTTTTTTCGTTATTCGTATTCTGTCTATACATTTTGACGACGTCTTATAGAACTTGGCTTGAACATGTACGATGTACGCAAGAAGTGCGACAAGTCCAAGGATGGCGACCTCTGCTACCGCGAGATGAACTGGATAGACACTTGGATGAACGAGCCGAAGCACATGGAGGCCCTCGGTGTCGATCCTAGCCGCAAATTCGCGTCCTGCAACATGGAAGTGAACCAGGACTTCATGCTCCAAGGTGATGGCATGCACAACAGCGCGCTCCTTCTGCCCGACCTGATCAACGACGGAGTTCGCCTGCTCGTCTACGCTGGCAACGCCGATCTCATGTGCAACGCGATCGTGAGTACACCTCTCGCCCATTGCAAATGGATCGGGGAGTGAATCTAATGGTTTCACAGGGTAACGAGCGCTGGGTCGAGGATCTCGAGCACAAGTTCCACAAGGAGTTCGTCGCGACGAAGTCCAAGTCTTGGGTTGCCGACACGACTGGCCGCGTCGCTGGCGAGGTTCGCGCCGCAGGCAAGGGCGCTGGAAGCGTTACCTTCGTCCAAGTATACGAGGCTGGCCACATGGTACCTTTCGACCAACCGGAGCACGCTCTTGTGAGAGAATTCGTCGCTGTATCTGGAAACAAATCTTACTAACCCAATCGATCAGGACATGTTTGAGCGCTGGACTAGCAACGAGGCGTTCTTTTAGGCGCTGAGTGACGGCTACACGCGTTTTCATTTGCAATCCTCATCCGCTATCGTTACACGCCTGTCTTCCGATTATGTACTAATAGCCTGCACACCTGACCGACATCTATGGACCGCGGAATATGAGCAATATACGTAGAAGATATACTTCCGCCACTTGACCGACTGGGACGCTTGTGGTGTAGACCGACGGAGTTCAGAGCCCGATATATGGGGTGTGGCGACGCATCATGATCGCGCATCACGAAGCAAGCGCGCAGGGCAACATGACAAGAAAGGATGTTGACGTTTACAGCGCACGACCTTTCCCCCATTGCCACCACACCACGACCAGCGACACCCTTCTAGTTACCGTCCTTCACCACTTACAGCCTCGAAATCCGTTACATGGGTCGTCTACGCCCAAACACTGTTGCCTCACAGACCCTGCGCGCGACGTCGCGTCCGCCCGCGAGCCGCCCCGTTGGCACCACTCCCAAGAGACGGAGTGTGGTGGGTGGGGACGTCGTGCTCGAGCATGACGGGGAGAAAGTCACATACAAACTCCTAAGTGGCATCGACACATTCCTGCACTATGTTATCGAACGCCATAAAGCCTTCGAGAGGCGATATGCTGGCAAGCTTGGCCCCTGGACGGACGACCCCATTCTCCAGATGGCGCGGTTTACGAACAACTTTCGAATACTCGACAAGGATACTCAGTATATCTTGGTCGCTGTCATTCCCGGAGGGTCTTCCAACTTCAAGGAATGTGTCTTCCGTGTCTTGTTATTCCGGCTCTTCGATCGCATCGAGACGTACGAGTTCCTCCGCGACGAAGTGGGCCCACTTACGTGGAAGGGATTCAACCGCGAAGCCTACGTTGAGGCACTCGATCGAAGGGTTGCTGCAAGATACAGCATTGTTGGACACGCATACCAGATGCCCTCACCAACGCCTAAGACGATTGGGGGTGCCTCGCACCACGACCGTATCCTTCGCCTCTTGGAGCTCATGATGCTCTCCGGTTTTGCCGACGACCTTAGCGAGTGCTATGAGCTCTGCGATATGCAGGCAAAGATTGCGCTTTACCCGAGTATGAGGGCATTTCTTGGGTATCAGTGAGTTCACAGGCTGAGTCGTGTCATTGCATTCGCACTGACTTGATGCATTGACAGAGTCATTCTCGACCTCAACATGATTCCGGCGCTCATGGTACCCGAGGACTGGGCACTTCCTGGTCCTGGTGCGGTGAGCGGACTGAGGATGATCCTAGGGAAGAGTCTTCGTGGCGAGCACATCGGGCCTGCGCTGTCGTGGATGCATGAGCACTTCGACGAGCTCGCTTTCGCTGCCGGTTATACCAAGAAGGATATACCCGCATTGAAGCCAAGCATGCCCGGGCTATCGATTGTTGACATCGAACATGTTCTCTGCGAGTTCTCGAAATACGTCAAGATCAAGTCGCCCGCGAGCTACAACTACAGGTCTTTCGGACTGCATATGGCAAACCCAAAAGTCACCCGCATACTCCCCAAAAACTGGAAGCTCGCTCGCATTGCATTCATGGAGAGGAACCGTAAATACACCAACCCACACGCTAGTAAGAGCGGGGAGTTCGTGGTTTCGGCTATCCTCGACAAGGGCATGTGCGAACGAGCGCTTCACTACAAGATTCGTTGGGAGGGCTGGGGCCCTGACGCTGATACTTGGGAACCTGCGGCGAAGCTCGCTGAGGAGGTACCCGACATGGTCAAAACTTTCGAGAAAAAGCTTGCTGTAATTGAAGATTTGTTGAAGAAATACCGCTTGAACAAGCTCTAAGCTCCTGTCCACCGCTGTCGTCCTTTATCTCAAAGCATACTTCATTCTGCGCCGTCCTTCGCTCTCCCTGACATTTATCATCTCGTACTGGTCATTGCTCATTACGTTATCGTCTCTGTTTTTCTGATTGCTGTCTCGCTTTGTCTCTCGTCGCGTACCACCTACTATACCCCGCATGTATCAATCTAGACTATTGTTGCTTACAGACGTGCAAACATTGTTACCGCTTCTCCGGTCACCGCGCGAAGCACAAGGCATGTGTGCCTGTAGCTGCACTTGTGTAGGCAGGGTTGCGGCACACAGTTCGCGCCAATCGCGAGAACACGATGCGTTGAATAAAGTTCATATGAACTCATGTGATCGTGGTCGCTCTTCTACGGACATGCGCGGTACCTGTTCGCGACGTTGTTCTGGACCATCACAGCTTCCCATCGCCGTGCCGCACAAGCATAAGTGGCCCACGAGAGTCTTGCCTCTTCGCTGCGTGGGTACCAGGGGCAACTGTCCATAATGCAACTTTTACAGACTCCACCCGTGGCCGCCGCGCGCTTGAGTCCTTCTGCGACGGAGGTCAACCTGCCTGGCATCCATCCACATACTACACCCGCTTCGCCTTCTGCCATGTCAGACGCGACGACTTTCCCGGAAGACGCGAAGACCACTCGTATCTACGCTGGGAAACTCTTCGACTCGGAAGCGCGAATATTGCTCCCAAACCGCCTCATCACGATCGCCGTAGACTCCGGCTTGATTCTCTCTGTTGATGTGTACAAACTCGGAGATGTACCGTCAGAGAAAAGCGAGGATGTGATAGATCTGAGCGATACCACAGTCTTTCCTGGACTTGTTGACACTCATGTTCATTGTGGGTACTGTCCCCTCATAGACGTTGAAGGCGGTTTCTTCTCCTCGAAGTTGCGGCGATCTGCCAGCTCACGCAATCCACAGTCTTCCTTCACTCGTATTCGGAGACGACGTGGGATGATCAATTGACCAAGGAGAGCCTGGCTGAACGCACCGTGCGCGCAACAGTCCATGCGAAACGCACGCTCATGGCAGGCTTCACATCTGTGAGGTGCATTCTGTATTCACCATATGCTCGAGAGAGAAACCCACATCCTATGCGTATACAGAGATCTTGGCACCGAAGGTGCTTTTGATGCGGATATTGCGCTTCGCAAGTGCTTGTCTGGACCCAATGCCCTCATCCCCGGACCGCGATACTTTTGCGCTAGCAAAGCTATAATCGCTACAGGAAGCTATGGTACGTCACTTTATTTCAGAGCAGACATTTGTTTGACTTGGAGTCAGGCCCGAAAAGCTCTCTATACCCGAGCCAGGATGGCATAGATGGTGTCACTGGCGCGGAGATCGTCGATGGCGAGGTCGAGTGCTTGAAGGCGGTTCGTCGACAGATTGGTGCCGGCGCGGACTGGATAAAGGTCCGTCCTCGACAGTTATTTCTCTGTGATCCTACGGGGCTCAGTTTACGAATAGATATATGCTGGTATGTCGCCACGAAGGCCTGCGGGATGCGCCTCATGCTTTGCGCAGATTATAGGGTCCGGTCCCGGATGGCAGACGTAGCCCCAGGGCTAGCCGGTACCGCAATAACGACATTCAATAAGAAGGAGTTGCAGGTCATGATAGACGAGGCGACCTCTCGTGGAGTTAAGGTTGCAATCCACGCCGCGGACTGGGGACGAATCCGAGGCCTTGCGGTCAATACCATTGAGCATGGCGCTGAGTCCATACCACCCTATCCTGAGACGGCCACTCGATCCGAGATCGTGGATCTGTGGCGACGCTATGAGCTCAGGAATCGGCATACCACATGGGTGCCAACCCTTGCGGTCATGTACAACTCAGGCGCCGCTAGATGGGCACGAGCGTCGTCTACCTTCCGTGCCGCGCTGGAAGCAGGCTATGATAACATCGCTTGCGGCGGTGATACAGGCGCATTCGCTCACGGCGAAAACGCACTTGAGTTGCAGCTTATGGAGAAGCTCGGCGCACCCTGGCAGAAGGTTCTCTCCTGGGCTACACTTGGTGGCTGGAAGTCCATACGTCCTCGAACTTGGGAGGGTCGGGAAGGCGAGATACGTTTGGCGCGTGTGGCATCACTATCCGAAGACCCAAGGCAGGTGGGGGATAACGAGGTTGCCTTTGGCATCATCAAGCGAGGCTTCGTGGCCGACATCGTTGCGACCACGGGCGATTTGGAAAAGGACTTCCCGGGTGCCGTTAGCAAGGATAAAATCACCTTTGTAATGAAGGGCGGGCGAGTGTACAAGCATGAGGGGCGACCGGTTGCCGACTACTAGTACTAGCCACTCTTGGATCAGGACTTATTTTGACATCAAGGCAACACAATAATCCCATGTGACCATGTCTCTCAAATACGCAAGGCTGTTGTACTTTTCAGCAGAGCCCCGAGCGTCTGAAATTGTGAGTTGATAGGTCGTAGAAGCAAAAATAACAATTTATCGACACTTGCAGGATTCGAACCTACGCCTCCAAAGGAGAACAGATTTCTAATCTGTCGCCGTAACCACTTGGCTAAAGTGCCCATGATAAATGTTTTTGTGAAATATATATGAAAAAGCTTAAGTCACCTCGACCATGCCAGGGTTCAGTTGCCATGCGATCCTTGCTTGCTCACTTCCATGGCGTCTGAAATCGAGGCACCCGATCTGTCCTCGAAGCCTCTCGAATTTCTGTGTGCTGTTCTAGGAAGATCAGATGAGGAACAGCCCGGGACTAAGTCTCTGTCAGCTCTTGTCTCGCCCGATCCCTCGCGTCCCTACGTTACCTTGACCTTCGCCCAATCTCTCGATGCTAAAATCGCTGGACGAGCTGGACTGCAGCTCATCTTGAGCGGGGACGAAAGTATGAAAATGACTCACTGGTGATTGCGGTTTCTATGTTAGTAGATGATATGTATTCATCATGAGGTAGGATGAGGACTATGCATGACGGGATTCTCATTGGGATCGGCACGGCTCTCAATGACAACCCACAACTCAATGGTAAGACAGATGCACACATGGGAGTAGGAGTTGGCAGGTGACTTGTGTACAGTACGCCACCTTCCCTTCCCGAAGCAAGGGGGTCATCTGGAATACTATCACCATCCACGACCGCTCATCTTGGATCCTCATCTGCGCCTGTCTCCAAAGTGCAAGCTTATCAAGAATGCCTCTCTGAAGGCAGGAGTAATGCCTTGGGTCATATCTGCTCGCCCGTACCCAGACGTGGTACAAGTCGAAGGTCAAGATCGCGTTGCAGACTGGGAGTCGCGAAAAGCGGCTATTGAGGACGCCGGTGCGAAGATCTTACTCGTCGACGTCGAGCTACCTGGTAGGCATATGATGTCCATCTGTGTGACTCCTTTTCTAACCCTTAGTCGTCGCCAGCGAGCTCGCGAACATCGTCTTACTTGCCGATCAAGGCCGTTCTTGAGGCCATTCGCGCGGAAGGAATCCAATCCGTGATGGTCGAGGGCGGAGCCCGAATTATACTTTCCTTCCTGTCAGCGGCGACACAGGACGAGCTTGTTGATTCCCTGATCGTTACGGTGGCACCCGTGATCGTGGGAGCTCATGGGGTTGGGTATAGCGAACTCCTTGACGATATACCCGCTCTACAACATGTTCGCACAGAGGCATTAGGTAAAGATGTAGTCATGGGCATGAAAGTCGTGAAGGTACAATGAAGGTTATTACGATGATGCGACAAATTACAAGTGGACGATTTAGAGCATTCTACAAAACAAAGCGACGGGACAACATTACGATTAAGCCATAACTTATGCGGATGGTGAGCCTTCCACTTCTCCGGTGCTAACTGCGTCTCGCCTTAAACTCGCGTAGGATGCTGGCGCCAAGGCGGTGTCACGAGCCACAGGGTGGCGCCGTTTGAGGCGTGCGAAAAACGATGCTTTGTGTGTTGCAATGGAAAACAATAGAGCGTTCATAACATATATATGGAGACCTGTCAGAATCACCAAGGGAACGGGTCAGTCTAAGAGCTAAATGCCAGTCCGAAGAATATGACGAACCTCAAACCATCACGAACGAAGGAATCCCTCTAACCCACTATCCCACAAACCGCACCGTATCCGCCACGATATAGTACTTTGCAACTTCTCCCGGCTTAAGCGCGACAGTCGAGTCAGGCGCAAGCATGAACGTTTGCGTGAAAACGCGCGGGTGGCCCTCAACCGTCCTCGGTGGTGCTCCCCTCGGATTTCCCTCCGGTCCTTCTCCATGTGTGACGTTCCCCGACACGGTCACAAGTAGCGATGGTGGCATGGCCCCTGTATCCGGGTCAGTCCACACAATTGTGAGGCGGGGATACAAAGGTGGCCTACCTGGTATGGGGTGGCAATCATAGGACAGTACATCATGCTTCGTCTTCGGCATACGCATAAGGAGCTGGCGGATGCCATCCGCCCCCTGATGCGGGTTCCCGTTCCAAGCAATGGCCGAGTTCGGCCGATAGAAGTTGGGAACCGTGTCTGCGCGAGAGTCCGAGTCGTAGGCAGTGTAGTACAGTCGTTGGAAGTGGTCTGCTGCACGTGTCGCAAGCTCAATGCTATCCAGTCCAGCTCAGCGGAAGCCCAGAAAAGGTCACAAAGGGATCGAACTCTTGTCTGCTGAGAGCGGCGGTCATGGTGGCAGGATGAAAGTCGCGTCGTGGCGGGAGAATTCGAAAACAAATGCCCTTTTACGGAGCCGAACGGCGCGTCATACCGCACGTGTTCTCTCGCCACTCTGTTCCGTACGTCGAGCATCATGTCTGAGCAGCCTGAGAAGGAGATCCGCGTATTCACTCTGAACTGCTGGTAACTTACCACAAACGGAACATGATCGAATATCTGACTCAAATATAGCGCAGGGGACTGAAATTCGTCGCAAAGGATAGGACAGCGAGGGTCCGCGCCATCGCCGACTACTTATCTTCAACTCGCTATGATATCGTATGCTTGCAAGAGCTCTGGGTATTTAGAGACTACGAACTTGTTCGCACTGCTGTGTCTGGTCATCTACGATTCTCCAAGTTCTTCTACAGGTGTGTGTGCTACCTCCTGCCACTGTGAGATGCGTATCTCACGCACGGTGCAGCGGTGCTCTCGGAGCAGGACTCGTTATATTCTCTCGCTTCCCTATCATAGGTGCCACTATACAACCATACTCTTTGAATGGTCACCCGCTGGATGTTGCGGGAGGAGACTGGTTCGTGGGCAAAGCAGCTGCAAGCCTGCTGCTCTCCCATCCCATTCTCGGTCAAGTCCAGATCTTCAATACCCACGTACGCCGCCTATCATAATACAAGTATCATGTAATGACTATCTATCTCAGCTCTTTGCGAAAGGTGGAGAGGCTGGCCCAGAACACCGTCGTGCTCATCGCTTGGTCAACGCCTGGGAATTCGCCAAACTCGCGAAACAATCGGCGGAAGTCGGCCGCTATGTCATCGCGGTATGTCCCAACACCATCCCCTCTGTAAGCATTTCTTGTCACTGATACTGCTGCAGGCCGGCGATTTCAATAGTATACCGACCACGTTACCAATTACGGTTATACGAGAGCACGCCGGTTTAGAAGACGCCTGGGCGTCACTCAATCCTCCCTCAAACGCCCGATCCACATACGTCAACCCTCAAGAAGCAATATCTGTTTACGGTGTTACTGCAGACTCACCTCTATGCACATACTCGGCCGGAAAGCCTTTGGACGAGTTCGCGCGCTCCTCACAGGGCAAGCGACTGGATTATGTGTTCTATCGGAATCCGCCAAACACGACCTATTCAACTCAAGATCGTCGACCAGAGCTCGTATGCAAGCACGTGGCTGTGAAGCTCACGGACCCTTTACCAGGTCAAAACTTCTCCTACTCAGACCACTTTGGGCTTGAGGCGACGTTCGAGATTCGCCAGCCAGAGCACACCAGCCATACACTGCTCCCAGACGTCACACCCGAGGCACCTACTCTTGGGGCACCGACATCTCTCATGCTTCCTCGCCTCAGTCGCGAACATACGTCGATAGTCCTGCACGCACTTCAAACGTGCTCGAACCATGCCCGGATGCGCTCAAGAAGAGAACTCGCTATATTTGGAGGATGTCTCGCGTTTGATCTCGCGCTCGTGGTGAGCTCCGCATGGGTGCGGCCGACGCAGCTTGCGGTCCTGTTCGTCTTCCTGGGTATGGTTGCGACATGGCTGGGCACGACGATGCTGTATTCGGGTTTCCTGTACGGTAATTGGGAAGTCAATGCGTTACAAAACGTCATAGACGAGCTGGACATATTTCAGATTAGCTCCGATGCTATATCTCGTGGCGCTGACAGAATGGAGCTATATGAGTAACGCTATGCATGTGTAGTTGTAGTGTTGCGACCTATGCCCTTTGGCTTTCGTATCCTGTCCAAATGTACCAGATCTCGTTGCTACGGTATCGAACGCTCGGTCATAAAGTGCGCCATAATGTGCCGACATGGTGCACCTATTCATGGGAGAGCACTCGCTTTTGATGGCGGAAACGCGCTCGCGTGACCAAATTGCTGCTTAGTTTCGTACACCCATCCGCCGCCTACAGGGCCTCTTGGACGCGCGCCTAATCGTACCTCTTTCCCGAATGCGATGGATACCTGGGCTGCTGCGATTGGGGCTAGTGAAAGTCTCTTGTGAGGAGAGAAGGCATGCCATGGCGCGGCGAGCTGGAGGTTCTCAACTTCGCACGAGGCATGACGACGACCCGACCTCAAGTTAGCTTCGTAGCTCATCGATGGAAGTCTACATGTCCGAGTGGGCATGAACCGTGGATGAAGGGCTCGGACTCGGACCGCCACGCTTGCAACAAACGTCGTCAACAGTCTCAGGTGGCAGATCAATTGGTCCGCGCGGAGACGTTCGGCGAAGTTGGTATCGATGGTCTTCATCGAAAAATGGGCGTGATGATAGTGGAGTAGCGGTGTCTCGTACGTGCGCCGATACAACGTACTTGATAGCTCTTGCTATGTAAGTTGAGGATTGGAATTGGAATTGAAAGCGGGCGCTTTCTTTCCTGAATTTACGCGAATATTTTTGGGCCTGAGCCACGTATGACATCGCAATCATACCAGTCGTACAGAGGTGGCAGATCTTACCGAGGATCTGCCTATTGGATCTCCGGGCTGCATGATGAAACCTCCAACAACCGTGGACATATTCACGACGAAGGACTGCTGCGCAAGGCTGCAGTGCGTTGGCTAACACGAGTATCAGAATGTTACAATGAAACTACGCTGGTATGTGACTGCTCCTGAAGTATTCGATGCTGGGTACTCACCTGGTCTTTTCGGCAGGCCGCCACGCGCGTCGACACAGACCAGATCGCATCGCCCGATCCGAGCTCGACTCGACTGATGGGAGATCTAGGCCGCAAACGTTATCTATCCGCCGGTCTTGCGGCCCGGGATCAGCTTGTGCATGGCCAGACGTGGTCGCGGTATCGTTGATCTCTTGAGTATCAGGACTGCCGCGTAACTAAGTTTGTGCCAGGTCTACGCATTATAGAACTATCGACGTTGATCACGCTTCTACAAACGGCGCATAGTAGCCCACCCGCGATGCCATCTGAAGTCAACGCTTCCATCACGGCCAACGTTCAGCGAATCTGAGTATGCAATCCACTATCTTCCTCCAGAAGACTGAGCCATCGAAGAGACACCTCGGGTCCCCAAACATGCTTCGTGACGAGATGATGTGAATTCATAGGCTTTCGATACAATCCGGGGTGAGGAAGCTTCGCTGGTATCGGCACACTCAGTCAAGCAGGCTGCTTGCTGCTGCTTGTACTGAGTACTGAGTCCGGGTGCATCCTTCAGGGTTTTCGATTTCACTCTTGCATCCCAGTGTAAGATAAACCCAGGACCAGGGGTAGTCTGCTTGTTATTTGAGTTGACCATACTGGTCAGGCAGCGCCATAGTCAAAGCGTATCAGAGACAGGATCGGAATGGTATAGCTTCAGGAAACGAGAGAAGTTCACGCGCATCTAATGGCCGGCTAGAGACACTACTGTGCTCTTCTGGCCATCATGTAACCTCAGATGAGAGGTCGCAGACAAAGTTGATGAACCCCAGAATGCTGCACATGCTCAGAGCATGAAATCACGGTCTTAAAGTCGCTGTGCGCGTGATTTCAGTCTACGCTGTCAAGTGGAAGTAAGGACACAGGACGTGAGCATCTCCTCCTGCATTGCATACCAGCATACAACACGATGCTGAAGGGAGAGAAGAAGCCAAGATCGGCAGAACTGGTAAACTCCCCTGAACGAGAAGGGCAACCATGGATCCCATATCACTCCCGATGAAGACACGGACAAGTGCGAGGTTAGGCAAGGTTCAAATGCCCAACCTTGATATCGTGTGCATCAATAGAAGAAGGCGAACGCGGGACCTCTGTGGACCACAATCAAGAGATGCAGTGCCTATATAGCGCGCTGAGTGCGCATTTACGATGCTGACCAGGGCCAAAGCGCGCGGCTGGCTCGCACACTAGGTCGGGGAAGGATCCGTAGCCGCATTCAGTACGCAAAGTGCGCACAAAAGAATGATGGCTGCCTAGGTTTGAGCGGGCAAGTGCCGGAGAGGTTCGGAAGCAAGCCACGCCTCCCGATGGAAGCCCGAGCGCATCCTATAATCCTGCCTCTGGACCGCCCTAACCTGATGATATGTTTTATATGGGTATCGCGGAGGCTTAACATGACTTGACTGGACATAGCACGAGTCGAAGAAGCTCAGGCGGCGGTCGATAGGAACAACCCCAGCGCTTAAGTCAAACGAATAGTGCCGTCGCGGACGAAGGTAGTGATGAGAGAGCGCCAACTGCCGAGGAAGCTATCGGCGGCGCAGATAACATGTGAGTCGCGGCCTTGTACTGGTCATGGTGGACGTTAGTAACATGGTGCAGACAGCACCATCGAGTGCGCAGTAGAGGCTCCAGGGCGCTTTCTCTCCAGAGTACTGATCTGATGCATCTTACAGAGCTGAATAGAGAAGCGCGAGACATACGACACAATGACAAAGCCAGCATATATGGGGAAGAAGGCGTGTTGAGCGACGAAGCCGCACTCACGCCCACGGCGCGTGTTGCTGGCCGAAGAGACCCGCTCACACAAGCGTACACACTCGCAACCCTTGTTTGCTTCTTCGAAGCCGCAGCGTGATACAGGCAGATAACGCAAGCCGAGAGACACTGACTCTCGACAGCGTGCGCAATAAGATACATGATGGGAAACCTTGTAATGCGATGGGTGGTGGGTCATGATAGAAAGAGGCAAAGAGAGAACGACGCGCGATCACAGCGACGGTCTTCTGTTTCTGACTTGCTTCTGCCCATCAAACTCTAGCTTGTTGACCATACATCCCTGCCATTCGATACGCCGCACATCGCTCCGATGCAGGGGTGCGGTACCTCTGCCTCAAATACTTGTCCTCTGTCGCAAAGCAAGAGTGGGCGAGGAATGTGTAAGCTGGCGCCGAAGTGGGTTGGTCAGATCGAGGTAACTCCGTGCCACGCTTATGCCATATTGGACACCGATGTGCCGTACAAGGGACGCAGAACTTCACAAGTGGAGCAACAAAAGAGTAAACGAAGTCAACAAAGGCCGTGTTGACGTGGAAGAGCTATCAGAGCATGCGGCTGCGAAATGAAAGGGACGGATCGCCGCGACGCTGAAGAAGGCCAGCTGCCGTACACACTCGCACGGACCAGAGCTGGAAGAGGCTGTTTTCCAAAGCAGATTCGTATGATTGTTGAGTATGCAGCGTCAAGCCCTCACGACTGCGAACAAGGGTTGCGAATGGTCATGATGTTGAACGTCGTGAGATCAGAGTGAGTGTTACTTCACGAGCCGTACACCCAGGTCGGTCATTGTGGCACCAGAGCGCACAGTCGAGGTCCTGTGAAGTGTTTGAGCTCGGAGCGGTGCGGAATGATACACTACGTCTGTGAAAGCTCCGGGTGGGTAGGGAAGACATTGGGCCACAGCCTCGTCAACGTTCTCGCTTTCGACCTCAATGATATTGACGATGGGAGCACGATGAAGGCAAGGGGAAGGTACTGATAGCGAGTCGGGGTAGCATGGGAGGCTCTGCTACCGGGAGCCGATGAGTGGCGCAGCACGTCGATCTAGGTCGGCGAAGTGAGGAGCACGTTGAATGCTCGTGAGGAGCACGTCGAATGCTCGTGAGGAGCACGCCGAGCGCTCACAACAGACGCACACCGTCACTTCTGACTAGCCATATGGGAAGCATGCAGGGCGCACGCGAGGGGCACGGGTGCGGCTATTATGCGTCTTCGAAGAAAGGAACCTAGAGGACAACTTGAGTAGGCTTCTTCATCTAAGATGTTGTGGCACTGGCGTGGTCATCGAGGAGCAAGTGAATCGTGTTGTATACACTTGGCCGTGGCGCGAGAACTGGCCCGATCTACTTCGATGTACACGAGCCTATCTAGTGTGGCGCGATGGGGCTTGCCATACTTCGATGTGCATGAACGAAGCATGACCACATACAATCGACTCCCTGAGTCCAGTGCTTTCGCAGGCCATGGCGTGGGTCGGACGCAAGTGCGGCTCTGCGATGACAGCGCCGGCACTGCCTCTCACTCTAGAGCATTCGAGCGAGGATACTCGGCGGCTAGCAGGATGTCTACCGCAGAGCGTTCAGGTTCGGGTAAAGATGAAACACGAGGGTCATGTAACAAGCCGAGCTATGCCTGTGTCTGAGTAAGGCAAGGTAGAGAGCTCAGGAATGGAGAGATGAGCGCGCCTATATGCATCGGCGGGGCAAAGAGGTTACGGCTGCTGGGCGCGGGTTCTTGACAGCACTCGCGCAGTCGTGTATCGGCTGGTCGCGCCGTTGTGGATCCGTACGTCTGTATTTCCTATTGAACGCGCATGCACGCAAAGTGCTGAGATATTCATGAGCCTCTTCAAGTAGTCATCATGAGTACGACAACAAGACTGAAGCTCCCGAGCGGGCCGATATCGTCGGCACGAACGTGTGGCCCCCTGAAGGAGAGCGGGCTTGGACGGGGCACGATCATCGTCCCGCGACGGGCACGAGCACGGTCAGCAGCTTGTGATAGATATGGGCGCTATCCCTGCGCAGACAAGCCCGACAGATAGATTGCGCAAGTGGATAGATCCACAGTGCACATGTCCGCGCGTCCGAGGACCGAGGTGGTGCATAATCTCGATATCATGTTGAGCAGAGTGTCCCATGACTGGTATGCGGACATGTGTGTGCAGCTCCGCCGTGCAAATTGCGGGCCGGAGAGGAAATGGCCTGTATATATTTCCAGTCTAGGGTGTAGCCAGGAGAACAATGGACGCATAAGCGCCGTCGACGCGAGCCTGGTTATATAGGCGCCAGCGGGCCTCTTTCGATATGAACTGCCGGCGATGGACAATGAATCGATGAAGGGTCGCGTTGACCGGAAGACGGGATGGACATCGAACGTCCACATCGAGCGGCGGAGAGTGCGCACACATCCGCGTCCCGCAAATACCCTCGCTGCGTCCGACGCAGCACCTTGAAAGTTTGTGGCACGATCTACCCGCTGTACTCAGATAAATGTGTTGGACGGCCATCAAACGCCCGGCCCGAACACTTACATTCGCTCCGCTGACCGTTGTGGCCAAGAGGACCGCAGCAGCGAGCGGCAGGCATGGTACATCGTTGAACAGACCTCGGACTCGGGTATGATGCGGCTACACCGCAAAGATCATATGTATTGGGCATTGATACCTGCGGCGCAATGTGGCTACCGTCGAGGAAGCGGCGGCCGGTAGGGGATACTGGGACGGGCTGGAGCGGGCAGGGTACGAGGGAAGGGTTGCTGCGAGATAGGATTGTGTTGGCACGAGATAAGACAAACGTGAACAATAGATAGGATCGCGGTCGTGATATCGTATGGCGGGGCGGAGCGTGATCTAAGACAACATAGTTGGCGAGCTCGACTAAGCTGTGGCGCCCGGGTCCCATCTCTACTAAACATGCTTTACATGTTGTATCCGGTCGTCCCCCGCCCAAGCCCGGAATGCGCAAAAAAGAGGCTCAAGTGAGCGGGCGCGGCGGCCGTATTGGCAAGAGGGCAAAAGCGGAGCTTTATTATGGGGCGGGGTGCGGGCATGCTCGGGCAGGGGATGCGCCTGCTTCCTGTGATAGTGCGCGTCGGGATCGGAGAGTATTTGAAAGCCCGCGAGGATGTGTGAGGAGTACCGAGTCCATGCACAGGCTTCCTTTTGGAGGAGAGCAAAGAGGCGGCACAAGCGAATAGATTCGCAATTAGTCGTCGACGTCTTGATCCTCCACCGGCGTCGTCATGCAAAACTTCTCATGCGCCGCCTTAGTGCATGCGATGGAACTCAAGTGAAGTGTTATGCGCACAGGTTTGTATACAAGCCGAAGCGTAGCGCGTCAAGTGCGTATGCCTGAGGAATATTGATATTCATCATCGGGTGGCGCGTTCCCACGCACTTCCCAATAACCTCCCACCGCGCTCTCCGCAACCGATCGTGGACAACACAGGATATGGAAGCCTGCCGTTGCGATCACCTGAGCAGCCATATATTTGCTGAGCGGGGACGCGCGCAACGACTGGGTCGAGAGATAACATCGGCGGGGTACAGAAG